CATTGACGTCTGGTCCGTAGGATGCATCTTTGCTGAAATTCTTGGCCGGAAGCCAATCTTTCCTGGAACTGAATGCCTCAACCAATTAAAACTAATTATCAATATTCTTGGTAGCCAGCAGGAACCTGATCTTGCATTCATTGACAACCCAAAAGCCAGGAAGTACATCAAATCATTGCCCTATTCCAGAGGGACACATTTGTCCCGTTTGTACCCTCAAGCTGATCCTTTAGCCATAGACTTGTTGCAAAGGATGCTTGTGTTTGATCCAACTAAGAGAATCTCCGTCTCAGAAGCACTCCAACACCCTTACATGTCAGGGCTATACGATCCAAGATCCAATCCTCTAGCCCAGGTTCCCATCAGTCTCGACATAGATGAGAATATGGGGGAACCAATGATCAGGGAGATGATGTGGAACGAGATGCTTCACTACCATCCAGAAGCTGCTCAGATGCTTCACTATTATCCAGAAGCGGCTTTTGTGCATGCCTAGGTAAACTTTCAAAAGGCTCTGTTTCTTTGTGCAATGTGTTTATCAATTATAGAAAACCTTGCATTAGAGCAACGTATTGTTGGTCATGATGATCTTTCCAAGATTTTGCATTATCATGTTTGGTAGCTTGAGGTCTCTGTGCGGAACATTCTATCATGTAACTCTGTATATTATTACGCTTGTTATTTGTAGTCTACGGCTATTAATCTGTATTACGGATAATGCATGTAAGACATTTCCTGACTATAACCAAGGGAATTGAATAAAGACGCGTCCATTTTTATTCCGTTCTTCTCTTCTGTTTTCATTCTCTCTTTAGGTTTCTTTACTCAAAGGCGAAGATGCGTACATGTGTAATGTTAAACATATATAATAGGTAGATGTGTGCACCCTTGCTCAAAGCTTAGTGTATATGCAGAAGCATATGCTGGTTTACCTGAAGGCGAAAGGAATAATCGTTCCTAGAATTTCACCATATGATTTGTGTCATTTACTTTGTACTTCTGTGGTAGGCATTAATCGGAGACTACAACCGCCCTAGAGTTATGAAAACTTGATAGAGATGTAGAGAAAGGGGAGAAATGAGGGATGAAGAACGGTGGAGTAACGGTGGTGGGAGGGAGGTCGAAGATGTGCGTATGCAATGCTACATAAAATGAAAACGAAGAACTAAAACAAACTTTTAAGTTATAATTTCGAATTTCTATTTTAATCATCGTCCTTCGTTTTATCCCTCATTTGTACCTCCACCCTTCTTCGTCCCTCTTTTCCTCCATGTAGTTTCTCTATCTCGAACAAAAATTGAAAACTAAAAACCATTAACGGAAACGTTATTCCTTAGAGAAGAAAACCATATATGAAAGTCTGAGAAAGTAATCTTGGGAATTCCTGTTTGTCTTGTGTTTTGGATAATATCCAGAGGTGGATATGGATGGATAGCACAGTGGTTAAATAGCCCCTCGTTTTGGTTTAGAAATTGAGTTGGTCAATGTCTATCGGAACTGAATATAAAGTCGTCTGATAACTATTTTGTTAACAATAAAGAGGAAATATAAGAGAGAAACAATGGATGGCCAGAGGTGGAGGATAAATGGTGGGAATGAAGTGGACATGGAAGAATACACAAAATAAAACACAAAAAACTATGTCTAGTATATTTTCTCTTGTTTTTATTTCCTATATTCTTCTTCTTTATTCCTTGAACCTTCACTCACCATTCTTCATTTCTGTATGCATTCTCTCTTATGCAATGCTATCCACACTCTTTTTTACTTTTTACACTCGTTTCAATTTTCAACCATCGAATCGGATGAATCGAAGAAAATCAAAAAACAAAAATGAACAATGAGTATTTGAAAAGTAAAAATATGCAGTGCGGATAACATCACCCTATTTCTAAAGCTGCTGCATGGATATGCTGCCCTTTTAAATTTATTTGGCAAACAAACTAGGGGAACGTCCACCATATATATTTATATCCTACTCTATACACAAAAAAAAAAAAAAAAAAATGACACTCTAAAGTGCACTGGAAAGGTAAAAGAGCACACAAGTTGAGACCCAAGGAAAGAGACCTCCACAGAAAAAGTTGATGAGGATGGATATTTATGTCTCCCAACTTTTCTTCTCAAACCCTAACACCCCACCACTCACTGACCTCTGCTCTGCCGACCTCTTGAGTCTTGCCCGCCTGGTTTCCTCCCCCTTGTTTTTTCAATGACTAGGGGCCAAGCCCTCCAAGGCAACTTGCAATACCATGTCCTTTTTTCACAGGAACTTTAATAAAAAGTTTTTGATATTGTTCATTTTAACGAAAAATTACATTTTTATATTAAAAAATTAATACTGGTACTATTTATTTTTCGTAAAGGGTACTTGGTATTCAGTTAAAAACTCAAGTTAAGAGTTTTAAAAAATAATGAAATGTAACTAAATTACTTCATGGTTGTTTTTTGATAAAAGAAAATAGGGTCCAAGAAAGACTTCAAATATGCCCTGAGTTGCTTATGATTTCACTGGCTTTTAGATTCGGTAGCGATTTTGGTACTGTCAGTTTAGCTTCTGACACTATAAATGGTTTGTTTTATGTAGGAGATTCTTTCAAAAATATGATTTTTCATGTACTCTTTGCTACCTCATACTTTTGGCATAATATTTATAATGTTAGCACGAAAATTAACGCTAAAGTGTGAGGTGTCAGAGATTCTGTGGAGAGTCCCATTTTGAGAGTCTTCTTAGCATTTCACTCGTTTCATAATTTTTCTACACAGTGAAAAACAGTGCCATGCACGCTAAATTTATAGGAATATTTTTGCTTACCAGTCTAAACTTTGGTGTATACTCAACATACACCTAATCATTTGTCACGTATCCTTTCAATTAACCTTGATTAATTTTTTTCAAAATTGAAAAAGTAACATTTATTGTGAACGTTAACTAGAGTTAGGTGAAAGACACATGACAACTGATTAAGTGTATAGTGAGCATACAACATAGTTATGGTGGTGAGCAAAAATGCCACCCTAAATTTATGGGACCATTTTTACTCACCATTATAGTGTATGCTCACCATACACTTAATCATCTGTTACATGTCATTTCACTTAACTCTAGTTACTTTCACATTAAATATTATTTTTTTAATTTTGAAAAAAAAAATTAATCAAGGTCAAATAAAAGGACACGTGGTAGATTATTAACTGTAAAATAAGCATACACTATAATTTATAATGGGTGAGAAAAATGCCCGCCTAAAATTTAGGAAATTTTAACGAAAAACTCTCGGTATTGTTCATTTTAACGAAAAATCATATTTTTACACTAAAAAATCAATCATGATATTATTCATTTTATCCTTATTATTAAAACTCAAAATTTTCTAATCCTTTTCTTTAATTTTCTTTAAAATTTACAGTGTGAAAGTCACCGTCTTACTCTTTCCTTGTGTTCAGTGTTGAATATGAAAAGTGTGCTTGGGGAAAAGTAACTAGGAGCTGGCATCTTCAAATGAAAGATTACCTAAATCTTAAGCACATGGCATATAAAAAGTGGAATATCCTCTCTCTCTCTCTCTCCCCACCATATATATATATATATATATATATATATATAATATATTGTATGGATCATGTATGAATGTATGTATGTGAGCGCACAACAAGTAAAAGGGGGTAGACCTCAATTACGAATAAAACTTGAGGAAGGGTCCAATAAATCGTATGTGTTTTCCAAATTCAAAAGTTCAAAGTCCTAAGGAGATTATTGTTTATAAGACAAACAAAATTGGTCACCTAAAAATTTAAATATCTAAAACATGCAATTCATGCTCAAACTAAATTATAAACACATCAAACATGAGAATTGACTGACTAAAAACTAAAAACATCAAGGGTTTAATTGGAAGCTTCTAATGCCCTCAAGCATAGCTTATTCAAGAGTAGTTTGAGCATTGCTCGAAGGCACGAGAACAGCTTGACAGGGACTCGAGTGGCTATATTTTTTTTGACTTTTTCTTTTTATGAAACGCATCTCCATCGCTGGGCAGCCAATGACCACTGGTTTTGGGGCCTAACCTGTGAAAGACGTTACCCTTCGTATTGTTGATCAATTGTAAGGGGAAAAGGATCCTCACAGGTTTCTTTTCCTAAAGATTTTAGAGATTCCGTGATCGTGACCGTTCATCGTATATCATGTCGTCAGAAATAAAGATCCGACGATGATCCTTTTCCATTGTAAGGGACCGTCTCTCAGAATTCTGACCACATGCGCATGCCCCATGTACTGTTGGTGTTGGGATTCAACAAGAACAGCAAGTCAGCAACTATGTTAGCACAAGACTCTTGTGCCACTTTTGGTTGGTGTAACCTAATTTTGCAACACTCGTCCACTATATGATGGATTCTTGAGGAAAAAAAAATATCATCTTATGTTAAAAACATAATATCCAGTTTAAAGGTGAGTGATTATGTATTTTTTTTAATTATCTGGTGATCACAATTCTCATCCTATTTTTATTATGCGAAGATTTCCAATTCATAGCTTCTTCAAGGAAATGCTTACATGTTATAACTTATATTGTTACATAATAATTTAGCCTTAATTGTAACAATAATCCATAATTATAGCATAGGTTAAAGAAAGTATTTCTCAAGTCATATATCAATATATAATTCAGGGACGATTGTTACATAATCTAAGATGAGAAGAGAGGATCACAGTTTCTCTTAAGAAGTTTCAGTTTACAAGTTTATCCTAACCCTTTCATACTGAATGTGTCGTACAAAAATCAGTGGAAAATATTGACTCTTTGGAGAATACATATCCGATATGCAACTGTGAACTTTTCAAGTACTGAGGACTTGGCCATTAAGAGTCACATTCTATGTTTTTCCTTTTTCCTCGTAATTATATTATATAAGACAATTAGACATGTTCTTAAATTGTTTTTGGTAGTTTATTTATTTTAGGTGGGCGTTGCTGGCCTATATATTCAACCCTCGACCACTCTTCAAAACCTCCTCTCCCTTATCTTTCCTGCCTACCCCAAGAATTTGATCTCTTTCTCTCTCTTCTCTCTCTCTCTCTCTCTCTCTCTCTCTCTCTCTCCTCTCCTGGTTCTGAAAGCCTTGTGTCTACTTCAAAGTTCATAACATTTGTTCTTCTTCTTTCTCTCCAATGCTTAATCTACAAACCTACAGATTCAATCATGTCTCCGGTACTCAGTGAAATCCTGCTCTCTGGGTGTATGATAAACTCCACCCTCCTTCGCAGAACCCACCTTGTCCAATCCTTCTCTGTTGTTTTCCTCTACTGGTTTTACAACGTTTTATAAACAATTTTTTTACTTTTTTCTTAATTATTTTTTAAATCTAGCATCTGTGTTTTTCAAATAATAACTCTTAACTTTCTTGGGTAAGTTTAGGTTTTTTTTGTTTTTTTATAAGCATATAAGTATTTCAGACATGGCTTCTTCAAGTGGGGTTTCTTCAGAGTCAAGCAAGCTCCAAAACTCAGGATCTGATGAAGATCTTAACCAAGTCATGGACCAGAGAAAGCGCAAAAGAATGCTGTCCAACCGGGAATCGGCACGTCGATCCCGGATGCGAAAACAGGAGCATATGACTGATCTGACCGCTCAGATTGGTCTCCTGACAAGGGATAACAACCAGATCATCACATCCATGAACGTGACCAACCAGCTTTACATGAAGCTCGAGGCAGAAAACTCAGTCCTCAGAGCTCAGATGGATGAGCTCAGAAACAGATTGCAGTCTCTCAATGATATTATGGATTGTATTAATTCAAGCAAATGGATCTATGAGGAAGAAGATAATCATAATAATATTGGTGGAGGTGATGGGTTTCTGAACCCATGGAGTGCTGGCTTTTTGAATAATCAACCAATCATGGCCTCTGCAGACATGTTTATGTGCTAAACTCAGTCTGGTTAATCATGGATTAAGTGAGAGATTAGTGATACTAATTGAGGTGTAACTACTTAGAACATCCATGTCTTGTGTAAATTTGGTCGTACAATGATTGATGAGTAGGTTATGGGTTGTTGTTTTACTGTTGAACATGTAAGGATGTATAAGCGATCACTTATCTTTTGGCTTCTGGTTTTGTTGCCAATTTATTTATTTAATAAAATACTTCGTGTTTGTATACATTTTGCTTCTTTTATTTTTAGGCAATACATTTTTTATTTAAATTTCCGGTGTCAATAATGTTGGCATATACTTTATTTTATTTTCTTAGAAATTAAAAATGTTGGCATATTGTGTGCTGGAATTTTGTGTGGTTTTCAAAGTTGGAACTTAGATGATAAAGGTTAGACAAATTTAGAGGACTCTAAAGTTGGAACTTAGATGATAAAGGTTAGACAAATTTAGCGGACTCTAAAGTTTTTATTATTATTATTTTTATATTTTTTTAAGAAGCTCTTTAGATATATCAATGGACATTAATTTTACAAAAATAGGCCATGATTAAAACACAAATCTAGGTTAGTTCTATCCGCACACTCAGTTTTATTTTTCATACATCCTTCCCAATTTTCAGTCATTTGACCGAATGAATTGAAGAATATCAATAGTAAAAATTAATAAGAGTGTGTGGAAGGTAAAAATGGATGTGCGAATTGTAATGACCCGAAATTTCTAATTCGGAAGCCAAACACACAAGTAGGCCACAATAAATTAATGGTTTATTATAATTCTAACTAACCACACTAAAAAAAAATATAATCATTTTGCTTAATTTATGGCTGCATCTAACATCCTAGTTAGACTGCCTACGTATCCTAAATGAAGGGATCAAGTCATTCGTAGTTCACCTTATGCTTCTAGAACAACATACTAAAATTTCATTCTAATCCAACGCTCGGATCTCCGCCAATCACAAAATCAAGTGGCGGTCAACGTTTTATTTTACAAACTTGCAAATCCAATTCGGGAATATCCGTATGTCGGATTCTCGATCTGTAAGTTCCTAAGGTCCTCAAATATTACGTATTATAATGTCTCAAAGTTTGGTGAAGATCCAACGGTCAGATCATCGATTCTTATATTGACCCAATAACGTATCGTAGTGAATTTAGGTTCTAACAATCACCCTACATCATACGATTACCAAAACTGAATTCAAAACTTCTAATTTAGTCTAAAGATAGCATTGACGGCTCTTGGGCCACGTGCCGACTTGCCGGAAAATTTCAACTATTTCTAAAAATTCTCAAAATTTACAAAAATGAAGATCTCAAAGAGTAGAGCAAACTTTATACCTGTGGCCAAGTCCAATTTAGCCGGGAAAAGCTCCAATTTACCTCGAAACTCACTGGAACCCTAGAAATTGGGTGGCCTCGATTTGCCACCTCTGGTGCTTCGCCGCCCCAACCAAGGCCTGGGACATGTTCCAAAGTTCACAAGAAGTCGACCCATGGTGGTGGTTGAAAATGGTGGCTTCAGAAACAGGATGATCGCCGCCGTGGGTGCCTTCGGACTCGTTGGAGAAGACGACAAGAGTTCGTCGTGAAACCTCAACCTCAGCAATCCAACTTAGGTGGGAATGGAAGCTGGGATGACAAGGAGTTGATTGGTAGTGATGGCGTCGTCCAACTCGCCAGGAAAACGCCGGAATCAGTGTCGGAGGTTTGGTTATTCAGGTCGGGTCACGCGGGTTGAGGAAACCTGGTTTCCTCACGCTCATTTTCTGGTTCTCTCATTTCCCTGCCTCCCTTGGTTTCTAATTGGGCAGTGTCCATTCCTTTCTCTCCCAACCCTCCACGTGGCTTCACCAGAATTATCTGGAGAAATCCAGATTATGGTCAAATAACCATTTCACCCCTGACTTTGTTAGTTTATAACTTCTCCATTATAACTGCATTTCACGAACGGTTTGTGCCTACGCGTTCGTGAAATCAAGCTTTATCCAAATATGCCAAGAAATACGATAAAGTATATGAGGATAAAATACGTCGTCGTATAAATTCAATTTATCCAACCAAGACATTTTCATCTTTTCCCCTTTTTGATAAATTTTTCCACATAAACATATATTTAAAATTTTTCAGGGTATTACACTAATAGCACTATCCTTTTTCTAAAAAAAAAAATAGCACTATCCTTTTTCTAAAAAAAAAATAGCACTATCCTTAATTTAAACTATATTAAATAGAACATGTTTATCAACTAAAAATCAATAAAATTACTGTTATACCATTTTATACATAATTGAACGAAAATATTAGAAAATAAAAAATATGAGTATTAAAGTAACTTCGAAACAATTAAGTTTTTGCTGTTTTTCTCCTTCTCCCACTAACACGTAACCATAGTTTTACTTCTCCACTTTCTTTCTCTCACTTTCCTACATTGCCGTTTATTAATTTTAATTCAAATTCCTTTTTAATTTTTTTTTTTAACAAATGATATTATCTACGTTAAGGAACTGTGGAAGTGGGTTAAGCATCATAATAAACCAGCAATAATATGATTCAAATTCACCTATTTAACGAGAATAAAACCTAAGACCTCTCATATATTTAAACGACCTCATAATGGGTGGCTTTTATCCAGTCATTTTATATGAAGAATAAAATATAATATATAAGGATACCCTACAGTCAATAGTTAACAAGTCCTCACATGTCCCATGAACTATTCTCTTTCAAAAAGAAAAAAATGATCTGTCAGGAGACAAAATTGAAAGTTTATCAAGCCAGAATCATATTTTTATTTTATCAGGCCATGAGAAATGAATCAAAAATGTCACATTGACCAAAGTCTTGATGTTAAAGTCAGAAAAGATGCGCCATAATTAGTTAATTATCAGCTAGCTATAGTTAATTACCAGACTCCCAGTTAATTACCAGCTAGCTAACTACTAGTATACTATTACAAGCATGATATTGTTAGTTGGTTGGATATCTTAGTTGTGTTAAGAAAGTAATATTTTGGTGTATTCGAAACATAACTATACGGTGTTATTATTGTTCTTGAATTGTAAATACGTGTCTCTATTTATTATTAATTTATTCTAGAAGTGAAACATATAAATACCTACAACACATCCTTATTATAACATATAAAATTATACACCACATAATTTGTCTTTCTAATAACCACAAAAGTTTAACGTATTAAGAACACTAGCCATTTACCATATTATGTTCCTTCTCTACATATCGCTTGAACAAAACAAAACAAAATATGACAAAACAAACTTCATTAAAGACAGGAAAAATTACAAATGTGGTAGATGGACTAAGTTCAAACAAAACACAAAACCTTTAAAAAATAAAAAGGGATAAAAGAGTAAAAAGGGTCAAGTAAAATGAGAGCTACAACCCAAGATACAACAGGAGACCCATAAGAACTTAGGCCCAAAATGAGAGCTACACCCTTGTTTCAAAGCGAATCTTTCCACATTTGCCCAAAATTCTCGGCATGCCAGTTCAACAGTGGGCTATGAGTGTAGGGTCTTGTGTTAAGATTGAGTTCAAAACTTTGAGATCTAGTTCATGATTATGGGTTGGAAAGAGGAGGGAAAGCAAAGGAGAGGAAGGAAAAGCACGGCCACAGAAGAGGGAGGAAGGAAAAGTAAAAAACAAAAGGCAGTGAAAACCGACGAAAAATGCCTAAGAAGGGGTATGAAGCTCAAATCTAAGACAAGCTCAAGAATAAATAAAGACCAAGCTAAAAAAGTTTGGGATAAAACTCGAAGGAAAAATGAAAAGATGGGAAAAGGGAAGAAGAGAAAGAGGGAAGTAGGAGAAAAGGGAGTGGGGTTGCCGTCGGCACCCAAGCCAAAGGTTTAGGGCCCGCGACTATGACTTTTCCTTTGTTTGTGTTTTCAGCAAGAGAGATGGAGAGCTTTTTTATTTTTATTTTTTTTTTAATATGAATAAATAAGGCTTGTGAAGTTAGAAGTAAATAGTGTTTGAATACAAGTGGATAAAGGCTTAAAAAAATTCTTTGCACTTTTATAATAACATATGATATATCATCTATATTCTGTATACGTTGTAAAATCTAGCTATCCGTGGGGCCCGGCCAAGGCAATAGTTGCCGCCCACTACATCATTTGGAAAAGAAAGCTAAGCATGATAATTAATTATTCTTAATTGACAGGTTGATAAGAGCATGTGGCCAACCAATTATGACACCAATGCTCACATGAGCAAGAAAGTTTTAATTATAATAAGCGAAGTCCAAAGCGTGTTTAGGGTTTTTTAATTCTCGATTAAGATTAGGCTTTGATCATCTTTGGAGTACCTAATAAATCAATTATTGGCTTGACATGCCTTTCTTTTTTTTCTTCTTTCCTCTTTTGAGTGAGGACTTGTCTTCAACTAGATTTTACCTAGTTTATTGCCTTTCAAGGGGACGTCATGTATATTGCACATTTGTTTATTCAATTGGAAGGAGTTGAAACCTATACTTTATTTTTGGGTAAGTCTTCAATAATACAGATTACTGAGCTGTCTAGTTTTATATCAATTAGATTGACAATTAAGTAAAAATAATATATCATACAATCATGAACGTTAATTTTTTGTACTATTGAGTAGTTCATATATTGAAAAAAAAAATGTGTATTTTGACTTAACCAATTAATTACTTTACTCTAGCTCAATTCTAACCCATTACTTCATTCTTGCTTGCCACTTGAGTTGACCATCGCGGCTTATATATTAAAAATCTTTGGATGCAAAGTATCGCTGACATCTTCTTCAATAATTGATAAGTAATCAACTCCTATGGTGATTATGATTCTACTTTGGAAAAGAGATGGGTGGTGTCATTTCTTTGTTTTAGGTGCCAAAAATGTGGAAATCGGATCGTCGGATCCTCTTTGTGAGGATTCCAAAGATCCTTGAATCATATTTGTTCATCGTATATCGTGCAGTTAAAAATCATTTTAAATATTTTTATTAAAAATTAAATAAAAACATTACCTGACAAAAACTGACCACACGATGTATAATGAATGGACATGATTTACGAATCCTCAGGATTCTCACCAAAAGAATTCGAAAAGGATCCTGTTGGAAAAATGCGAACTGAACCACTAAAAAAAAGTGATTTATGCACTCTCGTATTTATTTTTAGTACGAATAACGTTAGGAAGACTAAAATTTTAAACCAAATTTGCAAATTAAATGATGTGTTACTAATAAGAAATAAGTATGTTAATCACACTTAAGTAATAACAAGACCAAAAGCATTTAGACGTATTAATTTTGTATTTGTAAAACAAAAAAGTATATTCGAAAATGTAAACCACCAATTTGGAAAATGCTGAAACCAAGTTTGGTACCAAAATATTTCAAACTTGAATTGTTTGTAAATTGCAGCTTTCATCCCCATGAACCTAAAGCATTACAATAAAACACAACTTATTAACCATTTGACATTGGCTTATAGAAAGTTAATAACTTTTCGCAACATTACAAAACGGAAAATTGTAGTACCTTTCAGATATGGGAATCACGGATTTCTTCCCTCTTTCTTCTTCATATGCATCCAACACCATTGCAAACTCTAATTATTCTCTTATCCTACTTTCTACAATCTAAACTCAAGTAAATCCCAGTGCTGAAAAAGCATGCCAAAATAACATAAAAAAATAGTTAGTAAAAAAGCTTCCACTGCAATGTATTGCCAATTAAATTTTACCAATTGGGTAACTGTGTATAGGGTTTCAAGTTCTAATTGCCAAGAAAGCGTAAGGTCTGAAATGGGATTTACGGAAGTTACATAGTTTGAGAGAAACTATTTTGTATGGAACATTTAGATTCATAATTTGCTTCAGTTTTAAATTTTTTTGTTTCAAGGGCTTTTGTGTCCAGTTTTTATTTTGTGAAGCCTTAAGACACCAAAACTTATTTCTAGCATTCTATTAGTAGAGGTCTCTCTAAAAAGATATTTTAATTATCAACAATATTAAGATCAACGAATAAACTAATATCAAACCCGTTAATCACACTTCCTATTCTCATGGGCGTTTCTCAGGAGCCCCTTAGAAAACGCGTCGTCCTCATAGCCCATAGGATAGCAACATCGCTACTAAAGTCTATCGCCTAATATAAGTACTAGCCTCTTGCCACACATACGTGTCTGGCAACTGACTTTTTTATATTTTTATATTTAAATAATTAATTTACATATTTTTAAAAAATTATTTATAAAAAAAAATGAATTAAAGACATGAAACAACCCCCTAACGTGGCAGGTTTAGTTTTTGTTTTTTTTTCTTTCTATAATTTTAAATATTAAATGCATTCAAAATAAAAATATGATTAAATACTTTAGCTTCTTTTGGTTCAATTGTAATTTACGAAATTCTTAAAGGGCAATTTATGGTATTTTGAATGTTTCACCATTTTAGGATGATCACTTTATATATATAGATATAGATTCAATCATCAACATCCACATCATTTGGTTTATAAATTTGGCATCTCTAGTATTATCCTTTTAATATTTAGATTGAACCAATCACAACAGAATCAAACAAAAAAAAATAAACTTAGACCACTTGAGTACGAAGAAAAAGAGTGTAAAAGTTATTTTCACACTCAAAATTGGACCAGAGATTGAATTTGAAACTTCCTAACATATATAAGTTATAACTACAAAAACCATTTGTTTGTTCATATTCCCTTTTAATGGAATAGGGTCCTATTCGGATCTTCTTTGTGAAGATCCTAAGGAACACTTCATCGTGTCCGTTCATCTATCATCCTGTGGCTATAAATCTATTTGATTTTTTTATTTAAAATTGAACATAAAGAGTATCTAAAGAAATTTAGCCACAAGATGTACAATGAACAGACAAGATAAAGGGATCCCGAGAGGATCCTCATCCCCTTTCAATAACAATTTTTTTTTTTTTTGGAATGCATCAATATATTTTTACACTAAGGAGAGGAAATAACATTAATACAGAAAGCAAAACAACCTCTGAGTATACTCCCCTAAAGGCTGTGAAGGGGTATCCCAAACATCGTAAAATTAAGCTTCCAAAACTGCAAGAGTCCACTCAATACTACGATCTGGTGGTATTCCTCTTCGCTTACAAGTGAGATGTCTTAGGTTTGAATCTTGTGGATGGCGAATTCGATTCCAAATTAGACTGCCCATTGTGTGGCTTAGTCGAACTCCCCTTCCCTTTAGCGTAAAAATATTGACGAACTAAAAAATAAAAAACTGCAAGAGGAAGACCTGTACGGATGGGAAATGCTACTTGTTCTCTAGAAGAAGCTCTGAAGCTTGTAAAAAAGGAGGAAAATTTTGAACAGAAAAATATGCATCTACCGTCTTCGTATTCACAGCCAGATGAAGGTCCAGATTGGGGTCAGCTGATCTTGTTGTAACACCCAAAACTTTGGGCAACCGCAGCATTGTATAATGTATCCCATACCTTAAAATTCAATCATATACCAAAATTGGCAAACGGGATCCACCGTAGAAAAGCCGCCTTTCAAAATAATTTTGACGGATGTGACGGAATGAGGTAAAGTGAAATGAAAATTTATTTTTGAAATGAGTAACACATTTTGAATTATAGGTGGCAAAGTGAGAATAAAGTTGATTTTCGAGACTTACATCTTTCGTATCACGGGCGACTTCTATTGTTCAATCTAGCAGATTTTCCAGATCCACCCAACATATGGTGATTAGCCCAACATCACTAGGCCACAAACAAGGCCTATTGGACCCGTATGTGGGCTACCACAACTTGCTGAAATTGGGCCGGTTCAGTAATGCTTACGAACCAATGGAAAATATCTATCGACATGAGACCCGATGAACGATAAAAACTTCGGTACCCATCCAGTATCTAAAGTTAGTAATATAAGATCAAGATTAACCAAATACCAACACGTGTTGAAATCTGCCACGTCTCACCTCCCCAGTTTCAATACACAGATAAATTTTTAATTTTGAGGGGAATACGAGTGGTTAATCACGTGTTTTTATGTAAGTGATGAGAAATTTTACTTTTTAAGTTATTAAATTTTTAACACACATGTCATACCATTTGTATAATGATACGTGTTGTATCATCTCATGTGCCGATCCACTGAAAAATCTCTCCAATACACAACGGATTTTGATGTACGGACGTAAGCTAGTCCACAACTATCGCATATGGAAGCGGTGAACCGTCACGAGCCTTCAGCAGAGCTTGACGACAAAAGAATGGATCTTATCTTGTTCGACTCTAACACACTACACGTGTCGTCATAAAAACTGCCAGGTGTCCTCGGCTGCTAACGTGGCATGAAGGCATGGATTTACTCTAGTGCATGGCATGCATGTCTACGCAGTTTGCCTATATAACCATCCGTGTCTGAGGTCAAATTAATCGGAAATATTTCATCAAATTGCAATCAGTTTGAAACAATGGCGCACTATCAGAACCAATACGGTGCAACACCCCAAGAAACAGATCAGTTTGGAAACCCAATTCAACATGGCACTACCGGAGCCACTGGCTTCGGTACCGGCACAACCGGGTACGGGACTACTAACGACCCGTACACAGGAGGGCAGCAGCAACAGGAAAGAGGGATGATGGACAAGATCAAAGACAAGATTCCAGGGACTGGTGGGGCACGTAGGGCTGACGACCCCTACTCATCGCATGCCCATACCGGTACTGGCACGACTGGAACTGGGTACGGGACTACTGACGCTCCCTACACCGGAGGGGAGTACCGTGAAAGGGGGTTGATGGACAAGGTGAAGGACAAGATTCCAGGGACTGGGGGCCGTACGCACGATCCTACACCTTACGGTGGGACAACCTACACCGGAGAGCGCCAGCATGAGGGGATTGTGGACAAGATCAAGGACAAGATTCCGGGAACTGGGCATAGGGATGAAGCCTACTCATCTCATACGACCTCCACCACCGCACCATACGGTGGAACCACCGGAGCGCACCATGAAAAGAAGGGCATCATGGACAAAATCAAAGAAAAACTTCCCGGTGGACACCACTAAATACAAATATATGCATAAGTGTGAATTCATATATTTGAATTCTAGGGCCGGTCAGTTGTTTTAATATGCTAATAACCGGTGCTTGGCGTGACTGTGTGAACTTTTTTCTGACGTGCACGAGTGAGCAGCGAGCGGTTCGCAGTGTCGTTTGTGTTTTTGTAGTATTTACTTTGTATGTCGTTTCATCAGTGGAGCAATAACATTCTGGTTTCTGTTTAGGCGTTCTTTGATTGGCAATTTTGCCATACCAAAAGATAAGTTAAATAAACCTCCAATTCTATAAATTTTACTACGCCTCCACTGAAATGGAGCATAATCTAGAGGAGGGATAATCATTCTCCGGCAAAGTCGAAACTCATAAAATATCATTGAATTCCATACTAGGGATACATCTCCAGCAAAGTCAATATTTTTTTATAATTTTAATGGTAAAGACTTGCTTTGTTGTATAGGTCGGGCACGATAATCGAAAGCAACCTCTTCAATTATATAGCGCAAATTAATGTGTGTAACCTATTAGATGTAGAGAGTATCACCTCTGTTTGTGGTTTAGTCAATCCATTTTTAGGTAGTAGTTCTATTCTAATTACAATTAAAAATTGCATCTTATAGTACATGCCATAAAAACGAAGATGGTTCGAATTAATCAATCTAATCTAACAGTGGTCATCATTCATCGTAGAGGACTTTGTAATCCACACTTAAATGTAGACAGTAGAGAGAGTGAAAATTGAAGAAGGGTATATTCAAGAGAAATAGTTCTAGCATGTAAAATGGACGAGCTACTTCCGAATGAATAGTAATTTGCTTGAAAAATAATTCTATTTAAACACGATTGCGTCAAAGAAAATGCTGAGGAGATATCTTTGTATAATCTTGTGTATTACATAATGTAACAAGTGATCTGACATGTCATGTTAATTGATTTATTTTATTTTATTGGATGATTTTTATATACATGTATTATTTTTCATTATATGTGATACATAATATAAAAAAGTGGTCTTTCTAACATTACTCTTGAAATTAATTTTCATCATTATTTTTTTTTTTCAACAAACCATATTATTTACACTAAAGTTGAGAGGATGAGCTTAACTTTAGACTAATAATAATATGGTTTAAATTCATTTTTTGTGATAATCAAACTTTAAACCTCTCATATACAAATAAAAAAGAAATTTCAATAAATCGTAATATTATGTGACCTACTTTTATTCTGAAGTGTAGAAAATTTGTGTGTAGCAGAAGATTTAAAGGTGTGGAGTTTGTCGACATAGGATTCTTTTTATTAATGTCTGAGTTGTTCTAATCAAAAGAAAAATTAAAACGACAATATAACTTATAGGGTAATATCTTAGATAAACTAAATTTAGAATTAAAATTTACAAGTTAATAATATGTCATCAATAAAAAATAAACACGTTTATTAATATTTAAATAATAATCCAATTATTAATTTTCTTATTCATTAATTTCTAAACTTTTTCTATAATTTTGGTCTCTATAATATTATCCTTTTAACCTATAGCATGTCGGTAAGACCTAGAAGATCTGGAAGTTTATGACCAATAGATGCACCAAGTTACCAACCAGTCAATTTTTCCTAAAAGAAAAAAAAGAAAAAAAAAATTACCAACCAGTCTATAAGACCTAGGCTAAGACCAATAGATACTACCCACGTGGGAGCTAGCTAGTGGAACAAGTACAGAGGGCACGTGTCACCAATCCCATGGTCACCAGTGGAACAGGTATTCGTATCTTTTTCTCTTTTTTTTGTTCAAACAGGTATTCATACTTCTTTTTATCCATATGCCCCACCCAAAAAGCAACAAAATATCTTGCCGACCTTAATTTTCAATTGTCATCATTTTCCCAGCAGTGCCATGTCTCCAAGTCGTTAAAATGCCTTATGCTCACCGGTATATTTCCATGCCTTGCTGGTGCAAATCAGTTGTCTATATAAACCAACCAACCCAACTCCTAATCAAACACAGCATCCCAATCGAATCATTAATATTGTCACTGCAATTGTTGTATTAGTCGCAAAGCATTGTTACTACAGTTACTGTTTGTTGTTCTTTTGAAAAATGGCGAATTATGGTTCAACACCCGAAAAAACTACCGAGGAGTACTACGGGAACCCGACTTATAACAGTAGTGCCGGAGCCGGTAGGACCGACGAGTTCGGGAACGCGGTTCAACACAGTCGGACTGATACTGGCTACGGGACTGCTCATGCCAAGACTGGTGATGAAGTGATTGTTGGACGTCATGGCGGCCCTGCCGTACTTCAGCGCTCCGGAAGCTCTAGCTCTGTAAGTTCTCCTCTTTTCACCTCTATATAAATGTAGTTCTAAGCTAATTCATTAGATGCATGGGCTATGCTGCAAATCTGTGCGTCCTGTGAATAAACTTTTCTTGTAAGAGGTACTTATGTTGCTAGAAAAATCAAAGAAGTAGTAATTTTCTATTGTCAAATTTAACACTTTTGCAAGAAAAATTGCGCGCACCAACGATGGTCTAATTAGTGATCTAAATTAATAACATCTTACAAATTCGTATCTTGAAGAATATTGTTCGGAAAATTAGTGTATTTTGTTTTCTTGTTAGATTTGTGCATCCCTACCCATTTTGTTTTTTCAATTATCAACACGATCAATGCTTCAAATTCAAATATTACATCAACATGTTATCTTTACTAGATGGAACAATTTCTTAAGGTTAAAAGTGTGATATGTGCATTATATTTACATATATTTTTTGTAACAAGGTCTAACATTCTATTATTGTAGTCTGAAGATGATGGGCTAGGTGGAAGAAGGAAGAAGGGACTAAAAGAAAAGATAAGGGAGAAGCTACCAGGTGGTGGTAACAAAGATGACCAGTACACTCGTGGAACGCAGACCACTACCCCTTACGGCGGTGGGACGACCTACACAGGTGAAGGAGAGCACCACCAGAAAAGGAGTGTGTCGGACAAGGTAAAGGAGAAGCTGCCAGGCGGTGGTAACAGGGATGACCAGTTCTCTCATGGAACGCAGACCAGTACACCTTATGGTGGTGGGACCACCTATGCAGGAGAAGGAGAGTACCACCAGAAAAAGGGTTTGATGGACAAGGTTAAGGAGCAGCTGCCAGGCGGTGGTAACAAGGATGACCATTACTCTCATGCAACGCCAACCACGGCTGCACACTACGGCGGTGGGACCACCTATGCAGGAGAAGGAGAGCACCACCAGGAGAAGGGTGTGATGGACAAGGTAAAGGAGAAGCTGCCAGGCGGTGCTAGCAAGGATGACCAGTACTCGCATGCAAAGCCGACCACCGGTGCACATTACGGCGGTGGGACCACCTATGCAGGAGAAGGAGAGCACTACCAGAAAAAGGGTGTGATGGACAAGGTAAAGGAGCAGCTGCCAGGCGGTGCTAGCAAGGATGACCAGTACTCGCATGCAAAGCCGACCACCGGTGCACATTACGGCGGTGGGACCACCTATGCCGGAGAAGGAGAGCACTACCAGAAAAAGGGTGTGATGGAAAAGGTAAAGGAGAAGCTGCCAGGCGGTGCTAGCAAGGATGACCAGTATTTGCATGCAAAGCCGACCACCGGTGCACATTACGGCGGTGGGACCACCTATGCAGGAGAAGGCGAGCACCACCAGGAGAAGGGTGTAATGGACAAGATAAAGGATAAGCTGCCATGCGGTGGTAGCAAGGATGACCAGTACTCTGATGCAAGGCCGACCACCGGTGCACATTACGGCGGTGGGACCACCTATGCAGGAGAAGGAGAGCGCCTTCAGGAGAAGGGTATGATGGACAAGATAAAGGACAAGCTGCCAGGTGGGCATAAGGATAACCAGTATTCTCATGACACGTCAACTACTGCTGCAACTTATGGTGGGACAGGGAACACAGGAGAGCACCAGGAAAAGAAGGGCATAATGGAGAAGGTCAAAGAGAAGCTTCCGGGCGGCCACAAGAAGTAGATCATCGTCTCGACTCGTGTAACTTTTGAGTCTGGTGTATAATAAGGGAGCGTCTGATGTGATCTCGGCTGTGTGAGACGCAGTCGTCCAGCACTGTCTTTTAAGTATTCTGTTAACATGTAACTTTGTGTTTCGTTTCCTTTGTATAAATATTGTATTTGTGTGCGCCAATTTCTGGGAGCAGTATTATGCTAAATGAAATTTAATGATTCAGTACGTATTACGTAATTTTAGTAAAACCGAAATAGCTCTAAGCGAAAAATAAAAATTTAATATACCGTATGAAAATTAATAGTTAAAAGATAAAAGATGTTCACTTATAATAACTTGAGGTATGTGAATTTTTACTTACGCATGCGAAGGGGGGTTTTTTTTTTTTTTTTTTTTTTACAGCGCGGTACGGTGGTGCATGAATTTTTTTTATTTATAAAAACATTTTGATAATTATAATGCATTATGCGTGACGTACAATGTTTAATGTTCACACTAAACCTTATTGCCTTTTAAGAATTTAAAAAATTACAATTGAATCAAAAGAAGATAAAAGTAATTCACCACATTTTAATTTTGAATGAATTTAAAATTTAAAACTTAAAAAAATAAAAAATAAATAAAAAAACGAACAACAACAACAACAACAAAGTACTCCCATTGGTGGGTGGTTTCATGTTTTTGCTTCATTTGTAAGCTATATGTTTTAGTTTATTTATGTACAATTGGTATCATTCTTCTAATCACACCCCTTAAAGATGTCTTGCATTAGTTGTTTTTCATTGTAATTGTTAAGATATATTTTTCCAAAAGTATGGTACCAAGTATGTATTAAGGATAAAAATGTAATTACACCTACAAGAGATAATGCTCATAGGCTTAAGGAATCTTAGTTAGTTTTGGAGGTTTTTCTTGTCTGTTAGTTGTGATAGCTTGTGTATAAATACCCAAAGTGTAATGTTATTCATTTGATGAATGGCAAATTACTTTTCTTAATATGGTATCAACTGCCTCTAGTCTCACGACACCTCTTCGATCCAATTTTCCTGCTTCTCTTTGCACCGCCTAATTTTCTTCGTCTTATCCGATCAATGGATCAATTTCTTGATCTTGATCGTGCTTTCTTCTTCAACCTACAACTATGGTGACCTCTGCATCTCCTTCTTCGGAATTGGATTCTCCTGTTCATTTGTTTCTTTATGCAATTCCAAATCATAACTCTGTGATTTCTTCTTCCATTACGATCCAAAATATTGGATCCATGGTTCCAATCAAGCTCACTAGTACAAATTATCTAACATGGAGCGCTTTGTTTGCTCCGATCTTCCGTCATTACAATCTCACTGGTCTCATTGATAGAACTATGGTGACGCCGCCTAAATTTCTCTCTTGATTTGGTAAGGAATCGAATTGCAACTCTCAATCTAGCCTAAGTCACTTGGTTTGAGAATGATCAAAACATTCTTATCTGGATTAATTCAACTCGTTTTGAATCTTTAATTCCTTAAACGATTGGTGTGACTTCTGCCTGAGAACTTTGGGCGAAATTGGAATCGCGACTCGCTTCTGCATCTCAATCTCACATTCACGAGCTTCGATCTCGTCTTCGCAGTCTTGTTAAAGGTGAATCAACGACTGCTCAAAATATCCAGCAAATTGAGGAAATCGCAGATGCATTTGCAAGTGTTGGTGCTCCGATTGAAGATTCAGAACTAATATTAGTCACTCTTCATGGATGACCTCCTGAAATTGACTCATTTGTGGATGATATTCAGTTTTGTATTGGTTCTACGACTTTTAATGAATTGCACGGCTTACTTTTTAGCAAAGATATTCAACTCAATAATCAAAAGAAGACAATTTCAACTGCACCGTTTCAGGCGTATAATTCTTCTGCTGGTATTATTCCCTTGTCTGCAAACCCTAATCCTCAAGCTTTTGTTGCTCAGCATGTTTCTCATTTCAACAATCAAGTTCGCAATGTGGAATGAAATTATCAGAATCCAAATCGTGGCAATTATCAGAATCATGGCACCTATAGATTCAACAATGGCAGGAACAACTATTCTCGCAACACCACTCAAAGACTCAATTGCGGGGCTCACAACAATTACTCTTACAACGGAAATGCAAGAGGCGTTTAATGCTCTTCTCAAAACTGGTACTTGGTCTTGTACCCTCTTCTTCTTCTTACAACCTTGTGGGATGTAAGTGGGTCTTTCGGATTAAAAGGAAACCGGACAGTTCTATTGACATGTATAAAGCCCATTTGGTTGCTAAAAGGTTTCATCAGTAAGAAGGCTTGGACTATACTGAAACTTTTAGTCCAATAGCCAAACATGTGACTATTCGACTCATTCTCACTCTTGCAGCACAATTTGATTGGTTTCTCAATCAACTCGATGTAAGTAATGCCTTCCTACATGGCACACTTACTGAATTAATGTTTCTGCAACAACCACCTGGCTTTGAAGATCAAGCAAAACCAAAGCATGTTTGTCAACTACACAGATCACTCTATGGTTTAAAATAGGCTCCTAATGGATGACAGACACTCAACATCAGGTTGCTTTACATTCGTTGGGAGTAACTTGGTTACATAGAGTAGTAAGAAACAAATTATGGTTGCCTATTCCAGTGCAAAAGCTTAATACAGAGGTATGGCCTTGAGGATTTGTGAAATTTTGTGGCTTAAGCTTTTGCTAAGAGATATGGGTATAGAACATGATCAGCCTATGAAATTATTTTGTGATAATAAAGTTGCCCGTGACATTGCACATAACCTGGTACAACATGATAGAACAAAGCATGTTGAAGTTAACTGATTCTTTATCAAAGAAAAATTAGAAAGGAAGATAATTGAGGTATCGACAATAAGAATTGACCATCAGTTGGCAGATATTCTCATAAAGGCTGTTTCAAGTCATAAGTTTTTAAGTTTCTTACACAAGTTGGGCATGTGTGATATATATGCACCAACTTGAGGGGGATTGTTGACTTTTGTGTATATATTCTTGTGATCTTGGGATTCTTATTTTATTATAATTTTATGTAAATTATTTCTTTCCTTAATGATAGGATTGTAACATCTTATAAATCCCTCCGTGAGAGATGATTAAAGACACATTCATTCCAAACAAAAGCATTCTCTTCTAAACATACATGAAGCCTTTGGCGTCTATCCGAATCTTCAATATATAGATAAGCAACAATCAATTATATGGTAAAATCTCGCGCAACTGGAGAGAAAATGAAACTGATTACAAACGTAAAATGAAGTCAACCTTCTTATGATTGAGTTATATAATATGAACATTCACAGACCAAAATACACAAGATTATAGTAATCATGTAAGATAGATATTGAATCGAAGAAAAAAATGATTGCCTTAGCCATAAGTGCTTTTGGGCAAAAGGGGGACAGTAATATTAAATTGTTTTTGGTTGATGTTTGTAACAAACCGAGGAATACATAGAGTATGGAGAAAAATCATGTCTTTGTACGACATTTTACCACTCACGTCCGTATTGGTTGTGTTGTCGAATAAGATAGAAACTCTTCCCTTGGCTGAAACATTCTTCTCAAAAAGTAGTCGGATGGAAAACCAATGCATGTTATCCCTTGTGGCATGTGGCCCCTCAAAATTATTTAAGTGTACCCATCAAGTCAAATATTTTATGCAATGGAAGTCCATCTCTTCCTTCTTTGTTTTCTTTTTCTGGCCACTGAAACGGCTCTATCAACTCTCTAGTGTGTGTAATCATTATCGGATTAATCTTTCTTTGGAGCAGCAATATCGGTTCCCCCCACCTCCCTGCGAGAAATTTTTAGTTGTGACATGAACATGAGTGGTACAACATGTGTTTTTATATAAGTGGTGGAAAATTTTATTTTTTAAGTTATTAACTTTTTAACACACATATCCCACCATTTATATAACGACACGTGGTATACTATCTCGTATGACGATCACACTGAAAAATCTCACCAAAAGTGCACGTCGTCTTCTTCCTCCTCTGGATTTCTAGAGTCGCACGAACAGTTTTACATTAAAATGATGAGGAGAATGCAAAATGGGGTTGTAAAATGAGAGAGCGACGCGTCCTGAGAGAAAACTGGGTTTTGTGAGGATCCCATGTTTTCATATGGTTAAATGATTATGGAGTTAATCCACCAAGAACAACTTGTCCTTCTCCTTCATCCGTGCAACACCTTCCCATATCAAAAACCAACCAATCCAACAATTAGTCAAGTAAAAATAATTAATTCAAAATAAATGAACAAATTGAGATAATTAAACTCTAGATTAGATCACCTTGAATCAAAGGAATCAATAGAATTGAACAAATTAAATAAGACAAATGTGCAAATAGAGCAATAACACTCTGGTTTCTGTCTAAGCGTTGTTTGATTTGTTCATTAATCAAAAAGTTAAGTTAAATAAACACCCAATTCTTTAATTGCACAACGCCTCCATTGAAATTTACCACTAGCTAGTGGAGTATGATCATTGTCCGACGAAGTCCAATGGTGGATAAATGGTTATATCAATCCTATTTAAATAAGAATGTTACACTAATTACAATTAAAAAGTACAATCTTATATCCTGCAATAATAATGAAAATAATTTTGAATTAGTTAACTCTAATTCGCTGAGGACTTTGTAATCCACACTTAAACGTAGAGAGTACATAGTGAAAATGGAAAACCACATCAAGTGATTCAGTAATAAGGGCACATATTGCAACTTCCCAATAAACAAAAAAATATGGGAGGTCTTGGGTTCAATGCTCTGAGCTGAGGAGTTTGTTTGACTGTGGCCATGAGCAGGATAAAATTTTTCATAGCTTTTCCGGGCTCAAAAGAAGTAGATAATCGTGATTTACCACCAATTGTCCTAATTTTTTCTAAAAAATAAATAAATAAAATATAGTGAAAATGGAAGGAGGGTATATTTGTGACATCCCACATCGCCCAGGTGAGTGATCCTTAAAAGTATATTCCCATCTCTACCTAGCACGAGGCCTTTTGGGAGCTCACTGGCTTCGGATTCCGTAGGAACTCCGAAGTTAAGCGAGTAGCGCACGAGAGTATTCCCAGGATGGGTGACCCATCGGGAAGTTCTCGTGTGAGTTCCCAGAAACAAAACCGTGAGGGCGTGGTTGGGGCCCAAAGCGGACAATATCGTGCTACGGTGGTGGAGCGGGCTCGGGAAGTGATCCGCACCGGGCTGGGATGTGACATTGGTATCAGAGCCTAACCCTGGTCGCGTGTGTGCCGACGAGGACGTCGGGCCCCTAAGGGGGGTGGATTGTGGCATCCCACATCGCCCAAGGGTGTGATCCTTAAATGTATATTCTCATCCCTACCTAGCACGAGGCCTTTTGGGAGCTCACTGGCTTCGGGTTCTGTAGGAACTCCGAAGTTAAGCGAGAAGGGGGCTAGAGCAATCCCATGATGGGTGACCCACTGGGAAGTTGCTCGTGAGTTCCCAAAAACAAAACCGTGAGGGAATGGTAAGCCCAAAACGGACAATATCGTGCTACGACGGTGGAGCGGGCCCAGGAAGTGATTCGCCCCGGGCCGGGATGTGACAATTTGGTATCAGAGCCTAGCCATGGACGCATGTGTGTCGACGAGGACGTCGGGCCCCTAAGAGGGGTGGATTGTAACATCCCACATCACCCAGGGGAGTGATCCTTAAATGTATATTCCCATTCCTACCTAGCACGAGGCCTTTTGGGAGCTCACTGGCTTCGGGTTTCGTAGGAACTCCGAAGTTAAGCGAGTAGCGCGCGAGAGCAATCTCAGGATGGGTGACCCATCGGGAAGTTCTCGTGTGAGTTCCCAGAAACAAAACCGTAAGGGCGTGGTCGGGGCCCAAAGCGGACAATATCGTGCTACGGTGGTGGAGCGGGGCCGGGAAATGATCCGCCCCGGGCCGGGATGTGACAATATTCAAAACAAAAATAGCAAGTGAAAAAAGGATGAGCTACTTTTGAATGAATATTGATGTGCTTGAAAATAACACTATTTATTGACCAAAAAATGAAAATAATACTATTTGAACACATTTATGTCAAAGAAAATGTTGACAAATTTTTGCACCATTTTTTATGTATCACTTGATGTGACAAATTATAGTACATATTAGATTAATTAATAAATTTTATATCATTAGATGCTAATTATATACCTGCATCATTTGTTACATTATATAATACATCAATATGACATAGAAATGTTATCATACTCAAATTAATTTTATGTAAAAAATATCACTTTTATTTGGAGCGTAGAAAATTCGTGTGGAGCAAAAGATTTGATGGTGCCAAGTCTGTCGGCATATGTCTAAGTTAGGAAAGTTCTATTCACATACTTTTGTTAATTTTTCATCATATATCTTTTTTAATTTATTCAATTGGATAATTAAAAATTAAAAAAAAAATATAAAAAGTAAAAAAAATTACATGAATATTGTAAAAAAAAATGTGATCATACTCAAATTAATTTTTATGTATGAAAAAGTACGTGAATATTGTAATCTAAATAAAAATTAAAACGAGAAAAACTTGCAGGATAGTGTCGGTAAGATCAAGAAGACCTAGAAGGCTATCACCAACAGACATGCCACATTACCAAGTCAAAAAGCTCTAAGTTTCATAGCAAAGTTATGAGTTTACATTTTTTTTCTTTTAAAAATGAACACGTTGGTAATTTCACTACAGTAGTTTATCTTTTGGAGAATGAAAAAAAACTTATAGAAGCAATTTAGCTTTCTCTGATTATCATCGTACGATTTATTAGTGGTAAGAATTGAACTTAAAACATATTATGTAGAATTTAAATCTGAAATTCGTTTCTCACCAGTAAATCATTTGGTAATGATTTTAGGTTATGAGTCTTATGACTATAGGCTTCTTGAGAAATTATAAATCAAATTTGAAAGGAAATTGTTATTAACACTCCAAAAATCTTATTTTACATTTTAAACTTTATATATTAGAAAGAAAGAAAAATACACTTGTAAAAAGTGTAGAATAAAAATTTTAAAGTGCAAATATTTGAAATTACTTAACAATATGACCTAGAAGGCTAGAACCAAAAGATAGTATCCACGTAGAGCTAGCTAGTGGAACAGGTACGGATGGCACGTGTCACCAAATCCATGGTCACTAGTGGAACAGGTATGTATATCATTCTTTATCCATATGCCCGACCCAAAAAGCAACAAAATATCTTGCCGACGTTAATTTTTCACTTGTCATCATTTTCCTGGCAGTGCCACGTCTCCAAGTTGTTAAAACGCATTTACGCTCGCAACCATATCTGCATGCCTTGCTGGTGCAGGTCAGTTGTCTATATAAACCAACGAATCCAGACCCAAATCAAACGCATCATACCGAACAAATCACAAGTATTGTCAATTAAGTTGTATTAGTCGCAAGGCATTGTTATTACAGTTTCATTTGTTTGTTTATCTTTTGAAATATGGCGAATTATGGTTCAACACCCGAAAAAACTACCGAGGAGTACTACGGGAACCCGACTTACAATGGTAGCGCCGGAGCCGGTAGGACCGACGAGTTCGGGAACGCGGTTCAACAAGGTCGGACTGATACCGGCTACGGGACTGCTGATACCAAGACTGGTGATGAAGGGATTGTTGGGCATCATGGCGGCCCCGCCGTGCTTCAGCGCTCAGGAAGCTCCAGCTCTGTAAGTTCATCTCTTTTCACCTCCATATATATGTAGTTCTAAGTTAATTCATTTAATGCATGAGCTATGCTGCAAATATGTGGGCACTATGAACAAATTTTTCCCTAGACGTATGTTACTAGGAAAACCATACAAGCAACAAATTTCTCTCGTCCAATTTAGCACTTTTGCAAGAAAAACTGTGCGTACTAATGATGGTGAACTTAATCAGTGATCTAAATTAATAACACAATATTTGACAGTATAAATGTCTTATCTCGAACAATGCTATTCGGAAATTAGCGTATTTTGTTCACGTAACTTATGCATCTGCGCATTTTGGTTTTTCGAATATCAACACAATCAATGCTTCAAATTCAAATATTGCATCAACATTTTATCTTACTAGATGGAACAATTTCTATGTAGTCAAGTATCATATGTGCATTATATTTACATATATTTTTTGTAACCAGGTCTAACTAACATTCTATTGTTGTAGTCGTCTGAAGATGATGGCATAGGTGGGAGAAGGAAGAAGGGACTGAAAGAGAAGATTAAGGAGAAGCTACCAGGTGGTGGTAACAAGGATGACCAGTACTCCGGTGGAACGCAGACCACTACCCCTTACGGTGGTGGGACGACTTACACAGGTGAAGGAGGGCAACGCCAGGAGAAGGGTACGATGGACAAGATCAAGAAGAAGCTGCCAGGTGGGAATAGGGATGACCAGTATTCTCATGACACGTCAACTACTGCTGCACCTTATGGTGGGACAGGGCGCACAGGAGAGCCCCAGGAAAAGAAGGGCATAATGGACAAGATCAAAGACAAGCTTCCTGGTGGCCACGCCGAGTAGATCATATCCCGTTTCACATAACTATATGTAAATGCCAGTCAGTGTATAATAAAAGAGTGTCTGGTCTGACCTCGGTTGCGTGATCCGTGCGTGGGTGATCCATCGTTGCGCACTGTTGTTTTTGTTTCTGTTATGTGTAATTTTGTCTGCCGTTCCCTTTGTATTAATAGTATATTTGTTTGTGCTATTTTTGAGATTAGTATTATGCTTTTAAGTATAACTGCTACCAAGTAAATTCAATGATTCAGCAGGTTTTACTTATTGTCAATAAAAACGATATAGCAATCAAGTAAAAAGAAAATTTTGATATGTTGAATTAGTAGTTAAAAGATAAAAGATATTCACTAATTATAACACGTACGTGATCTATTGGTACCTCTCTCACTTATAAGTGAGGTTTCAAATTAAGTAGATGATGAATTTGATACCAAATTAGGTTACCCATTAAATGGTTTAGCCGATTTTTTTTTTTTCCTAGTGTAAAAATATAATGGACAAAAAAAAAAAAGCAAAACCTAAAAAATTTTAAAAAATTTAATACAAGAGAAATACATATAAGAGATTTAAATTTTAACACGAGATTTCTATTTTAATTACACTAAAACGAACATAACTAACAGAACAATCTGCCATATGCATCAGCTAATTTTTATTTTGCTTAACAATTATCCATTTTTATTTTATCTAACATAAAAAAATGAAGCAAGTGGCATTTTACGATAATAGTGTAACTGTGTTGAGTTTTTGTAAGAGGACGAAATCTTAGCTAATCTAATGTATAATTTAACAAAATCTATAATTTGAAGGAAGAAAAAAAAAACATAAAAAGAATGAAAGTGTTTATTTTCTCTTTTATCCCCCCACCGCTGGAGATAAACACAAAGTTGCCCTGGTAGGACATTTTCATTCTTTTTATTTTCTCTTTTATCCCCTCACCGCTGGAGATAAACACAAAGTAGCCCTGGTCAAAAGATTAGGACATCATCAATATGACTTTTACAACACATTGACGTGTAGTCCAAAAATGCTATAGACATAAAGATGATCCTTCCTTTGCCAACGGGAAACTATTTAACGAGATGATATGTTTTTTTGTTTTTTTTTGGAAACTACGAGATGATATATGTTAGGTCCAAAAATTTTATGTACAAGTTTAATTACATCTTGAAGTCCGATTGTGTAAAAATAAAATAAATTAAGTTTACACAGAAAAATAAAGAAAGAAAACAAAGATGAACATTTCTAAAAGAGAAATTTGTTAAAATTGACTAGCAGATTGGTTAGTGTGTTCAGCGCAATCTTCACGAGGCCAGTAATGTTCTTCAACCTTACACTAAAAGGGGAAGTTATAACTGCACTCATGGAAAGAAGGAAAAAAAAAAAAGACCTAAAAGAGGGAGACAACATGAAAGGGGGATACAACGCAGAGGAAGAGGATTCAAGACAAGATTGCACCAAACACAGCAAATTAACTATAAAATATTAATATGAAAATTATGACGGCATTTGTGCTTGTGATGACATTTCATGAGCATTTACTGTCACATGCCTTGCAGCAAGATAGACTCAAACTCACCGCATAATCACCGGTTCGTCACCAATCTGTGCTTTAATTTTCCAAATCCTATGCCATCAGTTCCAATTTCTTTTCACCATCTGTCCCATCCTCCACCTCCCAGACTTTCCTCAAACCCATTTGATTTCGGATTTGTAGCTACTTTTCTTAATCGCGTTTTGTCGCGATTTTTTCGGGATATGCATAGAGCTTCGGTGCAGGTGATCTTACCACCACCTCTCATGGATCGGAAAAGTATGTTTTGCTCTGGCTCCGGTGTTTACACCACCACCTCCCATGGATTTGTCTTCGACGACTTTGTTGCTTATGAGTTCTCTCACTAGCTTCATGTGTTTCGCTACAAATCTGTCATCTGTGGTGCTTTGTGAAGGTTGTTGGAGTCGTCTGTCCATCATTTCTGTGGAATTGTTTGGCTAGATTTTTGGCATCTGTTGGACGGACGTTCTGTGGCGATACATCGGTGGCGGTTACAAGGAAAGTAGGGTTTTCTGTTTATTTTGCTCTTTAATTATGGGCTCAAACTCATATTTTCTTTTGGGCTATTCTTGTAATGGGACCTCACCTGTTGTAAATGTTTTTAAAATCTACAATCCATGCCATTAGAAGCGATTTTAGTCATTATAAAAGTACTTCTAAACAAAATCTATAAGTTGTCGTGATTAATTAATGATATAAAGAAATCAATAAAAAAAAACTAATGAAAAAAGCTTCAAAACTTTGAGTTTTAACAAAAAATCATGCTATAACTTTATCTAATGATAAGGACAAAAGGAAGAAAAACAAAAAACCAAAAAAAGCTAACTAAAGGTGCGTGCAAAGAGCACCCAACCAATCCTTCAGTTGCATAATCCTTTGATATAATCTAAACATATTTTATTCCTCTAAATTAAAATTTCAAATTGAAGTGGGTTTCGTTCAATTCAAAACCACATTTGGGGCTGTATGGTTAGGAGGGAGTCGGTTAGGTGTGGGTGTTGATGTTGATCTTTATCATGTTTTTTTTTTTTTCCTCTCTTTTAGGCATGGATGACTTTAACGGCGTGGATGTTTATTGTATTCTGGTGAAAGAACTTGAAAATCTGGGACGAGCATCTACTATTAAGTTTCATAAACAGTGTAATATCGTTAAGTTTCATAAACAGTGTAGTAGGTTTCTTAAACAGTGTAGTAAATTTCATAAACAGTGTAGTACAATTAAATTTCATAAATAATGTAGTAAATTTCGTACACAGTTTGTGTAAAGGGCGCACAGGTACACACATAAGTTTTTTTTTTTTTTTTTTTAATATTAAAATTATGTTTTTTAAATAAAGTTTAAATTTTTTTTATTAAATAAAGTTATAGTATAGGTTTTTATTAAAATAAATTTAATCCAAGTTTTTTTTCACGAAAGTTCTCATAAAAAAATTCTAAATTAATAAAAAAATCTAAATCAAGATAATTAAAAAGCAAGTGTACGTAGTCACCCTCCATCCGTATCCAAATTCCCCACGTCTATAGAAAAGAAAAATCAAGATAATTACACGGCCATGCATGTGTAAAAAACGTAAACCATGCCATGCTTTCCAAGTTCCAATCTTGAACATATACAAGAGGTCGTTATCTATCAACCACGTAAAGTCGCAGACGCGGTGGAGTGTCACGAGCTTTTTAACTCCGTGATAAGGACCGACTCCCTCATCCAATCTTATCTATCTGATTATTCTATGCCGACAGCAAGATACACTTGTTCCTCTCTCACGTCGCCAGGTGTCCCAGTAGCCAACGTGTCATCATGATCGAAAGTCACTATTCACGTACGTGTAAGAAGTAAGAAACCCTACCGTGACATGCGCGTTTTGTTAATTCCCTATATAATCCCGCCATATTTTCACTCCAAACCCATCAAATCCCAAACAAAATTATCCAAACTTCCAGACTCAAATTGTGTTTTTGAAAAATGTCGCATCTGCATAATCAACACGGGGCACAGCCAACCGACGCCTACGGCAACCCGATCCAGAGAACCGACGAGTACGGGAACCCACTTGGCGGTGCTACTACAGGTGCCACCACCGGAGGATACGGTGCTCATGACACAGCCGCTGCGACCACTGGTCACGATTACGGCAGGAAAGAGCACCATGGTGTCACTGGTGTGCTCCACCGCTCTGGCAGCTCAAGCTCTAGCTCTGTAAGTGATTTCTTATTTTTTCTCATATGAAAATGTGATGTTAATTTACGTAGGATTCACTTAATAGCGTGTACCATGATTTTGTCTATAGACCAATTTAGCCAAAAAGGTTAGGCTTAATTAGGCACACACACATGAATTTGTATTCAATCCTAATATAAGCACGTAGAAAATTTTCAATGCGCCTGTAGCAAGGTCCGGTACCCCAATATAATTGTATTATTAGAAACTAGTAAAAATTTTAATCGATAGTATTAGACCTGGTGTATTAGGTGTGTTCTGATACAATAAAAAATTTCTCTATATGTATTGTTATTTGTATCATGTCACCTGGCCAATAAGCAAAAATTTTAATGGTAGCATTATTAGATCAGGTTTATTAGGCGTGTTCCGATACACTAAAAAATTTTCTCTACAAATAGACTACGTACACCTTGCAAATGCGGATTGATGTGCAACATTTACGGATATATTCATGAGAATGTGTGTACTGTAGCATGTTTACTAATTTTTAATTAATACAACAAGATAGATTTCATTTAAAACAGAAGTTATTCCCTCGGAAATTTTTAACTTGTATACAATGGCACATACCGCGTAGATACAATTTTTATGCAAGATCCAACTCTTATTGGCAGGATTTGATCATCAATTTCTTTTATACTCGGTGCTACGTATAATTGTAGAAGAATTGTTTCCTATACTCTTGGGACACTATTATAATATTAATATTGTTAATTAACTTGCAATTCCCCCTGAAAAAGAAATTCATATGTCGGCGTGTATTTATTTTGGTGTAGTCGGAGGATGATGGGCTAGGTGGGAGGAGGAAGAAGGGGTTGAAACAGAAGATAAAGGAGAAGCTCCCGGGATCAACCACGACTGATACAACTTACGGCACCGCTGGCACCACCTACCCAGGAGGGCACCAGCAGGAAAAGGGGGTGATGGACAAGATGAAGGACAAGCTGCCGGGTACTGGCCACAAGGATGACCCCCACTACTCAACCACAACACATGCTACTACGACCACAACTCCCTACGGCGGTGCCACCTACACGGAGGAGCACCACGAAAAGAAGGGGATCATGGACAAGATCAAAGAGAAGCTTCCCGGCGGAAACCACTAGAGATTATATATCATTCCTGTATTAATAAAAGCCCTACAGTATGTATACAGTGGTTTAGTGTTGTTGAATCGTATAATAAGCTAGCGGAGCCTGGTGCGAGCTTAGCTCTGGTGCGGCTAATGCACCGTACACTACGCAATATCGTTTGTCTTTGTGATATATAACTTTGTCTGTCGTTTATATTAATATATTTAGTGCTCGTTCGAGTAACGGTAATTCCGGTTTGACTATTGTTGCAATATTGGTTTAATAAGATCCTACAAATGAGTATCAATAAGAACATGAACATGTTATTTAGTTTGCTCGCTTGCAAACGCCTCCGCTGATATCAATATCAAGTTCGAATTCCTCTTCTCACTTAGCTGCTCATCTAGAATAGTCACTCGCTCTACGGGCTTTTCACACAAGAGATAAGTTCACACAGAGAAGAGCCACTCGCTCTATGGTCTTGTCGCACAAGATGAGCGCGCCGCCCGCCTACTGGGAGCGGTTTCATTGATTGATTTGAGGTAGTAGCTGTAGCTTGCTTTTATTAAGAGCTCTAAGGTTCTCACAAGAACAAAGTAAACAAGCAAACGAAGAAGAAGAAGTAAGAAGGAATCGAGCTTCAATTTCTCTGATTTTCAATAGTTCATACAGATTGAGGTTGTTTTTTTTTTATTTTTTTTATTTTTTTATTTTTATTTATAACATGGAAGAGTCTAATGGTTATATTAGTAACCAATGACTTCCTACAATTACAAGAGCACTCTCTAACTACCTCATTCAATTACAATATTACCCTTTTAACCAACTCAATTCTGAACTAATTTTGTAATTAACCACTCATATTTGCTTGCTAAGTGTCATTGGTTAATAGCTTTCAAGTCCATTTCTTTTCGTTCGTTTGTTCATTCATTCAAGGTGGTTGTATAGCTTGCTTCCAAGTGTTGGAAATTTTGAGTAGAAATTTTATTATTCCACATTGGTCACTACAAAAAGATTCTCACTGTATAAGACTTTGTCCCTTATAGAGAGTGAATGGAGTAATGAACCTTAGAGAATAAAATTGGGCTTTATAATTAAAAATAAAGCACCCCTTTGAGAAGATGTCTCCCAACAAACTCATTTCTTTCTCATACCTGTTGCAAACATGCATAAACCTATTATATATACATCCATCTGCATGACATTTAGAACATAAAAAAATAAAATTCTTCTACAATCCCAAACATTCTTACTGAGAGAACCACAAAGAAATTTGCCAGAAGTCAAGTTTTCAGGTGTTGGAATTCTGACTTAGATCGTTAAATACTAGTGAAGCAGACGTCTGTAAAACTACAAGCACTGAGTAGGGACAAAATTTCTGTTTTAAGGACATTGTTGTACGCAAACCTTGATCTTCAATTTGTCTGTCTAATATTATTTCGTTATGTTCATACTCTGATAAATTATTTATTCGTATTTATTATTTATTAACATATATAAAATTATCATTGATTATTGATATTTATCCAACATCGAGTACATGTCTTAGCGATAGAAGCTAGTTGCATGAACAATCCAATTTCTATTATTTTTTTTATGTCGGGAGTTGCTTTTAAGGTATTGGTAATGTGAGCTATACGACATGTCTAACACTATTTTTGCTGTCGGGAGTTGCTTTTGTGGCAATGTGAGGTATACCGTATACGACATGTATACAGAGAGAGTGGGGATGGTTTTACAAATTATTAAAGTTTGGCAAACAGCAAGAACCCTACTGTGACGTGCATGTTTTGTTACTTTGCTTATATAAACCGACCCAAATTGTCACACTTCATCAACATCAAATCCTCATCGAAGCATATTCAAAATTTTCCAACAAGAAGAAAAGGTTTCATTGTGTTTTTAGAAAATGGCGCATTTACAAAATCATCAATACGGGGCACCACCCAACGTCGCCTGCGGCAACCCAACTCAGGGAACTGACGAGAACAGCAACCCGCTGGTTCCCCGAGTGGAAAAGTATGGAAACCCACTTGGCCATCACGGTGCTACTACTGGCATCACTCCAGCCACCACCGGAGAATACGGTGCTCATCACACGGCCGTTGTGACCACTGGCTATGCTGCCACCACAGCAGGTGGTCACGGCACACTTGGTCACGATTACGGCAGGAAAGAGCACCATGGTGTCACTGGCATGCTTCATCGCTCCGCCAGCTCAAGCTCTAGCTCTGTAAGTAATCTCTTTTTCCCATATAAATATTTGATCTTAATTTTTCGTAGGATTTTATAATTTGTACCATTATTTTGTCTAAAAAGATTAGACCTTGCCAGCAAAAAGATTAGACTTAATTAACTACATAATTTTCACGAAAATGAATGTGTGTAAATCCTTATACAATTAGCCAGGATACCAATGGTATTAATTTTGGGTCAATATGTACAATTATTTGTATCATCGCACTGATCAAATTAATTTCATGTACTGTACTCTGTAAATGCAAATCAACGTGTCACATTTTATTAGAATTGACCATAGTCACCAGAAAGAATAATATTTGCATTCCTCTCTTGGGAAATGAGCTCATTTCCCCAATCACGTCTTCATCATAGAAGTTTCATGATCGAGGTCATTCAATTTTTAAATCTTAATTTAAAGATTATCAATTCCTACAAAAGCTCATTTGAATTGAACATTATTTAGTCATCTAAATTTATGGAATAAATGGACGGTTGATCTTTATAATGTTACTTGGTATCTACATTATTGATGTATGATATATATTTGAATGACTAAACGATATTCTATTCAAATGATTTTTCTACATTGTTGATTTATGTGATACATTTGGATGACTAAAAACGATATTCTATTCAAATGATTTTTGTACACATAATCTTAAATTATCCTATTCAAATGATTTTTGTACACATAATTTTAAATAAAAATTAAACTGTTATGATTGTAAAAATTTTACGGTGAAGATACGTTCTGAAAGTATTGTTCAATAAGGCATTCAATTCTTCCCGTGGATTTTTTATGGACTTGGTATTCCAATTTCAAGAGACATAAGGAATGTAAAATTTCCCTTGAAATTGTCAACTTGGATTTTTCTCTTGGTGGTTACATGTTGGGTATTTAATTATTGTGCTGTAGTCAGAGGATGATGGGCTAGGTGGGAGGAGGAAGAAGAAGGGGCTGAAACAGAAGATAAATGAGAAGCTCCCAGGTTCAACCACAACTGACACAGCATACGGCACCACCGACCCAGGAGGGCACCACCAGGAAAAAGGGATGATGGACAAGATCGAGGACAAGCTGCCGAGTACTGGCCACAAGGATGACCCCCACTACTCACATATTACTACGTCGACCACCACACCCTCCGGCGGCGGCACCGCTTACACGGAGGAGCACCATGAAAAGAAGGGGATCATGGACAAGATCATAGAGAAGCTTCGCAGTGGACACCACAAGATATAAATACAGTGGTTTGTTAGTATTATATCGGTCGTATAATAAGCTACTGGTGCCTCTAGGTGTGAGCTGAGTTGTTTGTGTGGCTAACGCACCGAGAGCACTACGCAATGTCTGTCTTTGTGATGTGTGAAACTTTGTTGTCTATTATGTTAATATATCAACTGCATTGGCTGAAGCATTTGCCTTCCATAGATGACACAAAACCGGCCTTCCGCCATATCAAACATTGCACTGTAATCTTCTTCCAACAATCATTATCTGCAGGTTCAATCACCAAAAGTTCCCGCAAGAGCATGTCCCGTTGCGGAAGTGGTGGAATCTCATGCTACCTCTCACGACAATCTCCCTCCCTGTAACCTAGGACGCGCCGCACATGAACGAATGACAGTGTCCGAAATCCTAATGTTCTTCATGATCTTAATGGTGGAACCAGAATCTCTACTGAGCAATGCATATGCTAAAGCTAGCTTTTCACTTTGAGACATTAATATACGCGTCTTTTCTTCGTCTCCTACAGCATAAGCGGCCGAATCCAGGTTTGGCTGGTAGCCATGAGCTTGTAATCTGTCCAGAATGTCATCCAACGTCGTCTTAATCTCGGTGTACTCTCGATGGGTTGTTTCACCTGCACAGAACTCTTGAGTTACCCCTTCGTTTGTTTCAACCCAGCATAAGACCGAATGACTTGAAATTCTTCTAATATACACTATTAGTCATGGGATTTTAAGGGGTTTTCTTGAATTTTTTTCAAACGATGGTTATGAAGTGGGTTAGTTTGGTATTGTTGTGTTTTTTGAAAAAAAAAAATATTTCTGCTGTACTGTGAATAAACAGCTATAAACGAAATTTGTTAAGTGTTTTTTTTATATAAAAATATTTTTAACAAATTACAAAAAATAATAGTATCTGAGTGTTGTGTAAACTTAATTTAAATAAAAAAACACTTTTTTTATTTTACCAAATATATTTAATGCTTAAACATTTTAATAAGCCATTTTTTTATAAAAGCACTACAATCTCAGACTAGTTGCAGCTTTTGGTATATTACAAGGTCAACATTCACACTATAAAAATTAGGAGGACTAAAATAAACTCGGCGTACAATAGAGAGACCAAAAGTGAAATTTTGTATTTGTAATTTGATAAAGAGACGGGATGAGAACGCTGCGTTTTGTTCCTCCCAAATCTCTAGACTCTTTTCTATTCACACAGTGCCAGCACAGCACAACAGCACTCCTCTCAGCCCAAACTCCTCCTCCCGTTCCTCTAAACGACGACGTATCGACTCTCCTTCTTCTCTCTGGTTTATCGGAAAAACCAGGTAATCGTCTCTCCTCTCTGGTTCTTTGATGATATGATTGTTGCCTTCTTTTTTTTCATTTCTGAAAATTTTGAAATTTTAATGGCTGAGAAAATTTTGGGGAAGAATCAGACAATTATCTCAATTTAATTTTGCGATTGAAAATATGAATTAACATTTTTTTTAGCGAAATGGGCTATTTCGATTTTGTTGAAAATTTTGGGATTCATCTTAAATTTTTTACCTTTATTTTATTAGGAGTTAAATTTTAATTTTATTTACATAAATTAATTATTCGTTTATGATTAGGCTGATTTGAGCTAAATGGATAGTGATTCTCAAAAGGAATCATTAGAAAAAAGCGACAATGACGAAGTTTTCGGAGAAATTGATGAACTGAGAGTAGGAATGGAGGTTAGTGATGAAGCTGAGGCTTACCAGCTATGCAACACCTATGCCTTCAACAAAGGTTTTAGCATTCGGAAAGGTCATCTTCGGAGAGATTCGCAGAACAATGTCCGGCAGAGAGAATACACGTGCTCGAAAGAAGGGTTTCAAGTAGATGAAGACTTGTGTGAAGCGAGAAAAGTTCGAAGATTGGACACGAGGACAGGTTGCAAGGCTGTGATTCGGTTCAATGTGGAAAATGGTGTATGGAAGCTCTCGTACATTAATCCAATTCATAATCACGAGTTCGCTAGGCCTGAAGAGCGACAGTTTCTGAGGTCGGGGAGAAATATACCAAGTGTTCGCGCAACTATACTTGGCAGCTCTAAGTTTGATGGGAGTATACGACCAGCAAAGTTGCAATCATGTTCGGGAAAAGAATTTGGAAGTGCTGAGAATGTCGGGGTTAGTAATAAAGATTCGCATAATTGTTTGCAAAGGGGGAAGGATGAATTGATTGCAGGGGATGGACAAAGCTTGATAAACTATTTTAAACATAAACAGATGGAGGATCCGAGTTTTTTCTACAGTGTACAGGTGGATCAGTTTAATCGCATCACAAATTATTTTTGGAGAGACAGTAGATCAAAGTTGGATTATGATTGCTTTGCTGACGTTGTATGCTTTGACACTACTTTTCGAACCAACAACAATCTAATTTGTGCTCCATTTTTGGGAGTTAATCACCATTGGAAGAATATCTCATTTGGTTGTGCTTTTTTATTGGACGAGAGCACTGCCTCATTTACGTGGTTGTTCGAAACATTTTTGGAGTCAATGGGAAATAAACAGCCAGTAACCATTTTCACGGATGAGAATAAAGCAATGGAAAAGGCAAAGGCAATTGAGATTGTGTTTCCAGAGACGCGCCATCTGTTAAGCAATTGGCAAATCTCCAAGAATGCTACACAACATCTTGGTAGTCTTTATGCTGATCCTGAATTCAAAAAGCACTTCAACAAATGCTTTTACGATTGTTTTACTGAACAAGAACTTCAACATGCCTGGGATGACATGATTAAAATGTTCAACCTTGAAAGCAACTCATGGCTAAAGATGTTGTATTCACTTCGAGAGAAATGGTGTCCAGCATTTAGCTCAGATGCTTTCTCAGCAAATATTGGATCAAGCCAGAGGGGTGAGAATACAAACACCATTTTCCATCAAGTTTCCAGAAAAATAGTGGATCTTGTTAGTTTTGTACAGCACTATGAGCAAAAAACAAAAAAGATGCGGTTCACAGAGTTGGAAGAGGATTTTCGTTGTAAAAATGCGAAGCCTCGTCTTAGAGTAAATAGTAGTATATTTAAGCATGCAGCTACTGAGTACACTGTCAAAATGTACTCATTCTTTGAAAATGAGCTTATGAGCATTTTTGGGGTGAGGATGGTGGAAGTTGGTAATGACGGCAACCAATATATTTATGAAGCAGTCGAAGAGGGTCATCAAAGAGTCTTCATGATTCAGTACAACTCTACTACATCCACAGTTTCTTGTTCTTGTAAGTTATTTGAATCGATGGGCTTGTTGTGTCGTCATGCCCTCAAAGTGTTGGATTCTAAAAACTTCACAAGCATACCGACACAATACATAGTGAAGAGATGGACTAGAGAGGCCAAAAAAGGGATTGTGGCGAGTAATAAGTTCAGTAAGTCGTCAGATGGAAAGGCCAACTCTTCTCAATCGTTGCGCCTAAGTGAGTTGATGCATGAAGGAACGAATGTTTTCAGTATAGGCTCGTTGTGTGATTCGGGAAAAAGGATTGTCAAACAAAAGTTAGCGGAGACCATAAAGTTGCTGGAAAGTGACGAGGATACTACCTACATGCTAGGAAATTTGAGCAAAGTAGATGACCAATCTGTTCGCGATATGTCTCTTGATAATGGGAGCGTGGAATCCCCCGGTTGTGACAGCTAAAGGACAAGTCTCCTCGATTGAAAAATTGCACTTCATTGCATAAGATGTTCAGAATGAAAGGTTAGATTCTTATTTTTCTTCTTTTGTAGAAGCCAACATTGTACATCGTTTTCTTTTTCTAGTGTCGGTTCATTGATGTTAGATGTATCCGGTTATTAGATTTGTTGTCAATACTGGAGTTTGAAATCTATAATTTATCTCGGTTAATCTTTATATACTTTGTATCGCCGTTAAGTGCTATAGTACATTAATATTAATGGATTTTACTGATCTGAAGTAGCATTTTTCACTTGTGCGCCTGTTATAATTTAATTTATGTGCAGCTGTGTTATTGCTGTTTAGAACAAACTTGCTGTCTTGGCATTTTATTTCTAGGTTAATGAAAACTTAGAGAGTTTTGGCTAGAAATGAATATAAACCCTTTGTGTGCTTCTGGAGTCTGGACAGTCTGGGTTTCTCGACTTTTAAGCACGGTGTAGAAGAGTTATCTTGACTCACTTGCAGTATGCATAGCACAGCATACACTGCTACGGTGGCATTCTGTGCCAACGATACAAGGTACGTGGAGAGAAACTAACATTTTTTTTTTTTTTTTTTTTTGAAATGCAAAGATAACTAACACGTCTTTGTACTATTGGCAAGAGATGCCACACTGGATCCGTGCCATACAAGTTTGAAAAAAATCAAAGAATGGTGTTGTAGGATGATTCCCACATTGCATTTTTTTTTTTTTTTTTGGTAAAATTAAACGTGAACATGCTATTTAAACTGGAACTGGAAGGTTGGGAAGAAAACAAAGGTGGTGATTTGACACTCCCACTTAAGTTTAAGTGTTACTGTACTGCTATTTTTTGCTGTCACGTGTTGATTCTGAGCATATGTTGAAATCGGGACATGACAAGAAATTAGGACGTGACAAGAAGACTAGACACGAGAACAGGCTGTAAGGCTATATGATTCGATTCACTGTGGATAATGGCATGTGGAAGATCAGTCACCTCAACCCAGATCGTAATCACGAAGACAAATTCTTCGATCAGGTCGACATATACCAGGTGTGCGCGCAGCAATCCTTAGCTCTATGGTCGATGGGAGTCGAAAACCAACACCATCGTATTCCTACTCTGGAAAAAAATTCTGGTAGAGCTGACAACGTGTTGAATTAAATGAGTAATATGTTACGTGACGCTTTTAACCAACTGCAAATTGTTTACCATCCGTCTCGTATTTTAAATGACTTTGAACTAATATATGTTTTGCACCGTAGAAAATTTTCACAAATAAACCGCTTATGAATATGGTCGAAAATAGGACTAGAGGGATACTTTTCTTCTTTTATAGAATGATGCTAAATATTTTATTTTTTTTATTCTAACAAACGGTATTATTTACACTAAAAATAAGAGATGAGATTTAGCCTCACAATAGGCTAGAAATAATATTGTTCAAATTCACATTGACGAGAATCGAAGCTAAGATAAGTGGGAGGAATATTACTGGACCAGATAAGTAAGAGGAATATTACTAGATCGTAGTACTAAGTGGTTACACAGGGTTTATTATATTTCTATTTTATTCTAGTTGGTTCTCTTTTTGTCAAAAAATTGTGACGGGTTATATTTGTTAGCCCACTCTCTTTAGCAAAAGGGAAATCGGAAACATGTTTGGGACAGCGATCAGGTGCATCGCTCGGAAACCAAAACCTCCGATGAAACCCATACAGCTCAATACCCCACCTGAGCAGACACAGACCATCACCAGGGCCATCTTCGACATTGTCAAGGAGCACGGCCCTCTCACCATTTCCGAAACCTGGGATCACGTCAAGGTAATCTCAGTGATTTCGTTTTCGCGCACCAAGTGTTTGATGAAATGTCTGAGTGGTTTTTTCTTTCAGGAAGTCGGGTTGAGAGGTTTGACGAGCAAGAGGCACATGAAGATAGTGCTGAGGTGGATGAGGGAGAGGCAGAAGCTCAGATTGATATGCAACCATGTAGGGGCTCAGAAGCAGTTTCTGTACACCACTTGGTTTACAAAGCACAACAACTTCAAGCAGAAGCCGAAGCCAGGAAGTGATTCTCCACAACCCAAGTCTCCTTGAAGTCTTGCGGATCTTCTTACTAGCTCAGTAGCTTTGTTCTGAGTTGTAATGAAAAATTTGAACTTTTTGCTGTAATGTAAAGCTTAAGCTAAGTTCTTAGTCGTAATTATTTTTTTCTTTTTAACATGTCAGTGATTCTGTAATTTTACTTTGAGTAAATTGTAGCAATGGTCCATCAACTTTAATCAAATTCGAGCAATAGTCCTCAACTAAAAATTCAGTACCATTGGTCCCCCAACTCATCAAAATGTGTAGCTATGGTCATTTTCGTCAACTTCGTCAAAATTTTGTTAAAATGAGTTATGGTAGAATGACCATTGCGACAATTGGGTTAAAGTTGAGGGACAATTTCTCCAATTAGATTAAAGTTGAGGGACCATTTCTCCAATTGAATTAAGTTGAGGGACCATTGGTAATGGATTTTCAGTTGAGGGAGCTATAATTGCATGTTTTGATGAGTTGAGGGACCAATGTTAATAGATTTTTAGTTGAATGACTGTTGCTCCAATTGAGTTAAAGTTGAGGAAACCATTGCTACAATTTACTCTTTTACTTTTAATCCAAACAATTTTCTAAACATAAAGGTTCGAACTCCGTTGCACAAGGAAATAGATCCACTCTAACCAATATGGCTCAGCGAGCTCGAACCCAACGCTTTGTTCAGGATGTTCTTTTCAAAAACTTACAAATAAAAAGTTGGCAAAACCGCAAAAATCTTGCCCATGCCCGTTTCATTTTTGCTATACATGCGACAGATATGTGAGCTTATATATGAAATACCCCGTTTCATGAAACGAGTGTCGGCAAGTTAAGCATCCTACCCGCCCGTATAAAAGATGATAAGAGTTAACAAGCATAAATGCACATAATGCAGTAACAAGAGAGTTGCAAGCATGTCAATCAGATGCCAAATTTTCCAATCCCATGCTATAACAAAATCGATCGTCATTAATGTCAACCTTTTAACAAGCTACAATCTCGAACATGCCTTGATATGCACATAATGTACAGCCCTATTGGAAAATAGAAAAGTGAAAAACCCGAGGGACGATTATGTCGCCATAAAAGGAAAATCGACCTACTTAAGCGCTGAAATCTCGACATGATGAGGAGAAGAGAGCATGTGTTAAGAATCTGAGTGGCTGTTTGATTTGCGCAACACTTCCTTCAGAACTGCAGCTATTCTATTTGCCATATGGTGTTCTAGGAACCTTTCTTTGACCCTTTCGTAGCCTCTCTTCCCCATCGTAAGCCTCCTCTCAACGTGAGTGGCGAGTTTTACCATATTATTCGCGAGAGGAGCGATCCCTGCTTTCCCAACAGGATGCAGCAAACCTGTCGTTCCGTTCACTACAATCTCTGTGGTGCCACCTGCCGCTGTTCCCTGATAAATATTTTATTTGAAAAAAAAAAGACAATGAAATAGGTCAATAAGATAGGCAGCATCAGTATTAGATATTACGCGAAATGAAAAGGAGGAAGGTTCATTACCAATACCGGCAGCTGAAATGCCATGGCTTCAATAGTTATCCTACCAAAGCATTCTCCCCGTGCCTGTACGGAATTAAAAAAAAAAAAAAAAAAATACAAGATGAAAATGGATATTTTAATAAAATTTATGTAATTCCAACCACATTAGGGTCAAACTTGAAAAAGAATAATCTGAACACCTATTTGTATGTATCTTATTCTTTATTCGTTGGCTAGTTGGGAATTCTATATGCATCAAAACAAGATAGAATTAACACAATAATAAAAGAAAAATGCTTCTAATACCTGCGAATTTTGAACAAGGACATCAACTGCAGCCAGATACGGAGCTACAGTCAGAGTTTTGTCTACAAAATGAACATGATCTTGAATTTTCTTCATCGCTACAAAGTTACGTAATTCATGCTCGAACTTGGTGTGAGCAGTCATGTCACTCCCCACAATTACGGCATGCATTTTTGGCAGTTGCAGCTTCTTCTCTTGGATCAGTCGCAAGCTTTCAAAGAAGGAACGCAAAAACAAATCCTGGCCTTTTCCTCGCGAAACACCTATAGACATGAAGTGTAATTTAGTGCTCACAATGTATGCATAAACTAACCAGAACATTACTTTTTATTTGTCATATCCCCATGGAAATTAACACAAATTTCACAAGCATATTAGAAACAAGATAAAGATAAAAAACAAACAAACTGGTAAATTCATGGTCAAGCATTATAACTAAATTCAATCAAACCATCAAAATAGACCAAAATACATACTGTTAATGATGGCAAATACTAGTTCTTCACTTCGAACTCCAAGAGACTCCCGGACATGCTCACGCAAAACCCGCTTTGCTACATTGTCCTCAGCAACTTCCATAAGTTCCTTGCTGTTTCCAAGGTGAACAACAAAGGTCTCGGGCATTTTGAAACTGCAGAGAGAAAATGAATGCAACAGTAAACCAAATATTGATATAAAAAAGAAAAAGGAAGAATATTTGAAGCCTACCCCAAACGTTCTCGAGTCCTATTCTCCCAATACTCTGCTGTTACATGTGAATCTATCATAGAACCTGCAACAAGTGGGAGGTGCTTAACATAATCCAATTTGAAGTAATGGCCACGCATTTCATGAATCCACCACAACACTTTTGGGAGAACACGGGGAACATTTTCCCTAAGAACAACATCCAACCATTTCCCAGAAACTGCAGTGTTCAATACAACCAAATCAGCTTTGAGAGCTGTATTTATAGTTTCTTGGCCATTTTCAGAGAGGACCTAGAGATGTATAGAAGCAGTATTAGAAACATGGAGGAAGTTACAGTGAAATGTAACCTATTAAGGCCATAGTATAGATCAAAACAGATAGGAAGCTAGATTTACTTAGCATAGTTTCCTTAGCAAGTGGCCAATATAGTACGGTTGGACAACAGAATGCTTCCAAATCATGAAATATTGAGATAATAAAAATAACTACGTAGAACAAAGACAACAACTAGACTGCAAAAGAAGACGTCCAAAATAATCTCTTAAAAAGTTAAAAAGTGAAATTTGTACCTGCACTCCTCGGTCCAACATCTTATGCTCCAAACTGTATGTTGCTGCATCTGTATCTGACGATTTCATGGTTGTAACCCAATATACTTCAGTGCCAACACCTCTCAATAAAAATGCTAGCTCCATCAACAACAAAGGTCCACCTGGAAGAATGTTCAATATATTATCCCCTCAGTAGAGTTTGTAAGATATAAAGAAATTGGTTGGATAAAATATACTCTTCAACCAGATATCTGGTTAAGGAGAAAGATTGCTTTCATCAGTTGTGGTACTACTCCATTTATTTCAATATGCCGACGAGTGCAAGTAAATATCACAAAAAGAACGCATCAACATTAGTAAAAGTTAGTCTGTTGACGCCTGCAAGAATATTGACTCAATAAGTTCTCGAACCAAGGACAGAAGTTTCTCAACTGAAAAAAAAGAGCATTCTTCAAAGAATACATTGGATTACAAAATGCATGACAGCTCAAGAACAAGATTATCCCAATAAATAGGTTAATGTTCAAAAGACGACAAATATTTTCAAGTTGAGTAGTAATATTTTCAAATGACACATCAGTACACAGAATTGACAAATAATTTATACAACCCTGCTTGTCGGGTTATTGAATTAATTAAGTTACAAAAATACATGAACAGTAGAACAATACAGATGCCATCTTATAAGAATCAACAATCGCAGAGAAAGTAACGTACTCAGTTCTTCCATTCTATAATCTTGACATCACATAAATCCCAAATGAAATCATTGATTAAACTCGAACAAAATGGAAAGGCATGCAACTGCACCACGCCATGTTTCCAAATTCACAAACAAATTAAACTCAACTGGGATGAAAATGTATCAAACAGCATTAACACACTAAGGAACAAGCTACCTCTCCATAAATACTGGAATAAAACAGGAAATTTAAAAGTAATGAGGCACAGGAAAGGACTTTTTGTTAAATGGGTTATCGAAAACCATCCAATAGTTCGAAAACCAGTTAATGCTCACAGATTCCACTGATACAAGTGGTGTTTTTCATCTAAAGCTGCTAACTTTCTATGTTTGTATAATCTAATAAGTCATTAAAAACTTGACACAACCAATTAAGCTAATCGCTAAGCTGCTGAAGCTGTAATCAATAACTTTACACATGATTAATATAAAAAATGCATTAAATTCATAAAAAATAATAACAATATAATGGAGACAGAGACATTACCAGAAAGAGAAAGCTCGTGGGAGACCAAGAGCACGAGCTTGGACTTCATGAAGCTGAGGGGGCTAGGACTGGTCCCAATGGGCGCCCCCAGCGGAACCCTCTTATCGACGACGTCGAGGCCGCCGCGATCGCAGGTGTCAAACGCGGCTCTGATGAAGAAGGCGATCAAGGTAGAGAGGGAGACCATGACGAGTAAAGCCAGAAGCCACCGCTTCTGCGCCGCGACCCACCCGACGGAATGCTTGGCCATTTCTAGGGTTTGAAAGTTCCGTCACTGCGAGTCCCGGCGGCATAGTTCTAGGGTTTGGGTTTTCGACTGCGGCCGGTGGGGTTCGTACATTTGGCTCTCTGCAACTGAAGACGCTTGTAAATAATGATAGTTTCAAGGTTTTTGTCGAAGTTCCGATGGATTTTGGCGCTCAAAATTGTGAAATTAATGGGAAAGTTTGAAGCTTTAATCGTAATTCTTCTGTTCGATTGTGTTTCTTTACAGAGAATCGGAGCGCGGAGCTCGAGGTTGAGAGGTGCTGCTTCTCTCTGTGTGTGGAGGCCTTTTTGTTTTTGTTTTTTGGAATTTCCAATGCTTTTTTTTTTTTTTTTTTTTTTTTTTTTTTGTGGTTTTAGGTATTTGGGAAAATATAATATGGAATGGAATTTGCATTTTGGAATATGGTTTCTTGTGGCTTTTTCTTTTTGGGTTGTTTTTTTTTCCTTTTTCCCTTTTCTTCCAATTTTTAACACTTGTTTGTTGTCGTCATCAATTCTCACTTTTCTCTATTTTCTTCTTTTACTTTTGGAAAATTTCTCTACCCTTTTTGGTATGCGGAGTAGTTGGAGCAACCCCACCTCTTTCAATCGCCCTTGCACTTGAGTGATTCAATCCTCCCGCTCCAACAAAAACAGCTACAGCCTACCCAAATCAGTGGGGCTATTCAGCGGGCCCGCCCGTCCTCCGGGGACACATATCATCAACGGATATGAACCTAGGGATCATTAGATTCAGACTATTGAAATTTGATTCAACAGCTATAAAAATGGATCTTCCTAAAAATTATAATAATTGTAACCGTTGGATCAAATTTTAATAGTCTGGATCTATTGATCCCTAGGCTCAGATTCGGAGAGATTTGTGCCCCCCGGGGACCTAGCAATTGGGGTGAGGTGATCTGACGTTAGCCACGTTCTTTATATTTTTTGCATCAGGCGCGTGCGGCTCACGCACGAGTTCAAGCGTTGGGCCAACCAAAAGCAGGTAGTGAGGCCCGCTTGGCAGACATCCTCACACTAGTCTGAGAGGGGTGACGTGGGATGTTCTGGGCCGTTGGATTTCCAACTGCTATATTTTTAGGCCGTTGGATTTCTAACAATAATTTTTTTTTAATTTAACATAATTTTATTATATACATTTTAAAATAATCATGCAAACAAATAAATTAATCACATTAGAGACATGGTTTGGTTATCAAATATGTATTAAACAAATCAATGACAAGTTACAATAAATTTCGTTGCCATAAACCGTCATTTATGAAGACGAAGTGACCTTTAATTGGATTGATTATTTTGCACACATAATCTTTAAATGGTGATTAAGAAGTTGAGTGTCACTGATAGTGACAGAATTACTTTTGTATGTAATGTAACAATTATATGTGAAATAAAAACACAAGTGAGTCTCATACAATATCATGAATTTAGCTCTTAATTTTGAATAACAACTTATCACCAATTCATCTTTTACCCATTATATCCTCGCGTTATTTTCAAAAGTTTTAAGCTTGCTCATTTACTATTATATAAAATAGCTTGAACGAAAATTCGAAGTTTAATTCCTTCGCAGTTCAACTCATCATCAATTCATTATAGTAAAGAGTAATGTTAAATATTTGTTGAGGCAATCAGTACTATTGCGCCAACTTTGAATATTTGATCTTATTTTGCTGAAGATGAACAGCTAAGATATCAAAACCCCCTCCTTATATTGAATGTCATGGAAGTTGAGTACCGAAAATGTGTGAAATTACCGGAACAGAATATGTATCACCTAATAATCCAACACATGCTGGATGTTGAATGTTAGCTTGGGGACTAATATGTATGTTTTGTGAACTTGCAGGTTTACGATGACACGACTCAATTAGGCTGTGAAAAGTCTCACTGCGAGTTTAGGTACGGGATGAGTCGTTTAACATCTCCTTCCCCTAACCCAGAAAAGAAAAAGTAGTCTCCATCAATCTGACCTATAAAGTGCATTTTGCAGCTTTGGGACCGAACAGAGACATGTAACCCTTTCTGTGGCGGTGGATTGTCTGTCCTTTCATTTCCATACTCTTTTCATGTCTTTCTGTTTGTACGATCACGATTAAGGTACGTTAATATTTTATATTTTTATTACATTTTGTTTTATTATTTCTATAAAAAATTAATATAAAATGTTGAAATAGCTTAACCGTGACCACACATAACAAGAAAGCATAAGGAAAATATGGAAATAGGAGGGCAGACAACCCTCCTCCTTATGTGGCTGCAATATTGCTTCCTTTTCCACTTTGGTGCAAAGACCTAATATTATTATATTAAGGTGCTCGACTTCCGTACACTTTGATGCGTATGCAAAACCATTTACAAGTAAATAAAATGGTCGAATTATCTGTCCTTAGTTTGATTAAATATTTGCAGGTCTTACCAGAAAATGGTCTGGATGTTAAGTTATGAGGGTCGGGAGCAACTGGGAGCCCCCCCTCCAGCTTTGTCACCCTCACCAACAATGTTAACTGTTGCATGGAGATGTAAGGGTATCTTTACTGCAGTGGGTGTTGATATCCCTTACAACAACGTCTTCATAATTCCTATTTAAAATTTTCAGGTGAAAGGGATGAAGTTAAATATCACTATCCCAGTGGAGGGTTATGATCCCATCCAGTTTTGCTTGCCAAAATGTGCGGTAAGCTCATATTGCTTTTTTAAAACTCTCGTGTTTCAAACTGTGGAGAAACATGTTAATACCAATCAAATGTCAATTATTTATTATACAACAATTGCACAGTTTATTGCGAATAGAAATTTCACAAGGATACAATGTATATATCTTACAATATAAAAAATTAATAAAACTGAATTAATAAACCACAAAACACTAATTTGGTTAGGAAGATAGAGTCTTGCAGTAGCAATCTCTTAAGACAGAAATACGCCCCAACACCAGTGCAGTAGTTCAAATGGACATCTATCTTGCAGGATACAACTATCTAATCCAAGTTCTTGCACACGAACTTGGATTCTTGGCGAATTGATTGAGCGTTTCTCTGTGAAATATGAAGAAGGAAAAAGAAATTGATGATTCAGTTTCTGATTTTATTGCCATATATATAATGGCATAATTTGAACAAATACAACCGTTCATGCTTATCAGTTTAAAAAAAAAAAAACCGAATGTAATTGAACATAACTGTTCAATCAGTTTTATCCTTTCGGAAAAAACTGAATCCAAAAAATCAAAAACGTAACTTGTGTTTTTCATCTATCCGAGCCCAAGACCCATCTTTGACATTTAATATATACACACAAACCCTCCAAGTCTAAGGCCCAAGGTCCATGGCTTTAGCTCAATTCATTTCAAACTATAAGTGAGTTCACTCATTTATAAAGGTGATGTTCACTAAAGGTTTGGGCGATGTGGGACTCCAAGTCCCACATAAAACACAAGTTCCAACAATACCCCACATTTTCTATTCAAACTTTAGAAATACCCCACATTTGAATTGAAAATTAGATACTAGCTAAATTAGTAATGTTTTTCCAGAGAACTTAGATATAATACGCATCGAGATAGGTGTCTTTTGGACTTGAACCTTTTTTAGTGAGTACTTATCGGTTTTACCTAATGAAGCAGTGAATTTACTATCTTGAACTGATCATTCTTAGTAGTAAAATCGAAACAATAAGTATCACACATATCACATCTTAACACACGTCAATTCATATGGTTGTGTTCATTTTGGTCCTGAACATATCCTGATCTCATGAGACCTTTAGAGAATTGTAGCCATACCAATTCTCAAAGATGCGACCCCACATTAATCTCATATAGGTAATGCTAATAAAGAATATCTTGTTTTATTCATCTTAATCATACCAATTCCCAAGGCCCATCTTTGACATTTAATATATACACCCAAACCCTCCAAGTCTAAGGCCCAAGGTTCATGGCTTTGGCCCAATTCATTTCAAACTATCAGTGAGTTCACTCACTTATAAAGGTGATGTTCACTAAAGGTTTGGGCGATGTGGGACTCTAAGTCCCACATAAAACGCAAGTTCCAACAATACCCCACATTTTCTATTCAAACTTTAGCAATACCCCACATTTAAATTGAAAATAAGATACTAGCTAAATTAGTAATGTCTTTCCAGAGAACTTAGATATGATACGCATTGGGATAGGTGACTTTTGGACTTGAACCTTCTCTAGCAATATCCCACATTTGAATTGAAAATAAGATACTAGCTAAATTAGTAATGTCTTTCCAGAGAACTTAGATATGATACGCATTGGGATAGGTGACTTTTGGACTTGAACCTTCTCTAGTAATACCCCACCTTTGAATTGAAAATAAGATACTAGCTATTGAAAATAAGATACTAGCTAAATTAGTAATGTCTTTCCAGAGAACTTAGATATGATACGCATTGGGATAGGTGACTTTTGGACTTGAACCTTCTCTAGCAATACCCCACATTTGAATTGAAAATAAGATACTAGCTAAATTAGTAATGTCTTTCCAGAGAACTTAGATATGATACGCATTGGGATAGGTGACTTTTGGACTTGAACCTTCTCTAGTAATACCCCACCTTTGAATTGAAAATAAGATACTAGCTAAATTAGTAATGTCTTTCCAGAGAACTTAGATATGATACGCATTGGGATAGGTGACTTTTGGACTTGAACCTTCTCTAGTGAGTACTTATCGGTTTTACCTAATGAAGCAGTGAATTTACTGTCTTGAACTGATCATTCTTAGTAGTAAAATCGAAACAATAAGAATCACACATATCACATCTTAACACACGTCAATTCATATGGTTGTGTTCATTTTGGTCCTGAACATATCCTGATTTCAGGAGACCTTTAGAGAATTGTAGCCATACCAATTCCCAAGGCCCATCTTTGACATTTAATATATACACCCAAATCCTCCAAGTCTAAGGCCCAAGGTCCATGACTTTGGCCCATTTCATTTCAAACTATAAGTGAGTTCACTCACTTATAAAGGTGATGTTCACTAAAGGTTTGGGCGATGTGGGACTCCAAGTGCCACATAAAACACAAGTTCCAACAAAACATAACCAATCTTAAGAGAACTAGTTCTGGAGATGCAATGTGCTAAATCGTATTAAAGCGATACTTCTTGAAGTCGAACTTGCTGGTGAAATGTAATTGGCTGATTGAGTGGGTATATGTTTCGAAAATTGATACCAGTAGTGGTTTGTAATAATATCAACTGAAAGAGCTTGGTTTACTCAATCGCAGAACATAGGCAGGAGAAAAGTGGAGAGACTACAACGGGATGGACTACATTTGGAGTGTTATCCTGCATGTAA